ATCTCTGTGTGTTTTACCTTTTTGGTACAAATAACCTTTATCTGCCCATGCGCAGATTGTATCTGTTAACTCCCTTATTGAAAATACATTCCAACAGTGCTAGCTGCGTCGGTAAAATACACTGCCTTTAAAGCCCCTATGCAATAAGTATAGCTACTTGTGCCCTCTATATAGCAAACGATGCCTAATCGGTGCCTGTTCGTCCCCCATGATCCTCTTTTTAGAGTTAATTGAGAGCTGATTTGATGAGATAACCACCTGTCAGTGACCTTGCAGGGAGGTCTGATCCCCCATGGCCAAACCAGTACAGACGGGATTTAATTCATAATAATTGATAAGTGATGATAATTGATTGATATGCAATAGGTATACAGAAACGGATAATCATTACCAACACAAGTAAATTAATTCTTTGTACTCACGATTCCATCTCCATCTTCATCTTTAAATCGTTTTTTCCTTCGTCTTGTCATCATTATACAATATTTGAACTCCAACTTTGTACATCAATATGAACAGTTCTCTTTAAATACGTTTGTCAATGAGAATCATTAAGTTCAGGTAAAATTCTACTATCTTAAAGGTGAAATTCGAAGAAGATCACAAATATGTCAACTAATGTATCACTAGAAACTGGTAAGCTAACAGATGGCAAGAGGACAAGTTTTAGGTCAACTACATATTGGGTGATTTATAAAAATACAAATACAACCACCTCCATAGCAGCTGGGATTTACGAGAGATTCGCCGGAAAAAATAACGATGTTTTAATGACGTCACTATATGGACCAACACTGCCCCGGAATGATATTAAGGACGGCATTTGTTCCCTCTTGAAACGCCGAACATACACCGGTGTGTGCAGCTGAATACACAATGGCGTCTTATTTTGTTTACAAGCGACAGATTCCTTTATTTTTGTATCGCTGCATTTGTCATCAAAATAAAACCATGCGCGGGGTTTAGAGTGAGGCAATAGATTATACATTTAGCCTGACGGTAGTGAAGTAAGAGAAAGAACCCAAGGAGGATGAAAACACAGGCACTGAAAGTGTGTGAGATGTCATGGGACATCGTCTGCTTGTGTAAGTCATGTCCATACTGTGATCTCACACATCTCAGCAGCGTTCGGAGAGCTCTTCAGGTGCTATGCCGGGGCTGTATTTTAGCGTTTTTTAATTTATAATAATCATTACTTCGAATGTTTCCAAGCATTAAATTTTGATAAGCTTGTCGAATAAAAGTTTCAACTTTGCAGTAATGAGAATAAAGTTAGTTTTTCAAATCAATGAATATCTACTTTAAGCAATTGCACAAAACCGGTTTTGCTGCTTTTTATTTCTAAGAGTTAAAAGAGTGTATAGTTGAGTTGCATTTATTTCTTTTTTTCTTCTGTATGATCTTCATCTTTTTCCTTGTCTTTCTTATCTCCTTTTTTATTTCCTTCTTTTTCTTATATTTTTAAATCTTTTAACTCTTAATCTCTATCTTCTTCTCTCTTTCCTTCTTTCATTCCTTCTTTCTTTCTTCCTCTTTTTTCCTTTTTCTTCTATTTTCTTCTTGTCACTTCTTATATTTCTTTTCTTGTCCCTCTTATCTCTACTTCTCTCTTTCTTTCTTTTTCTTTCTTTCCTTCTTTATTTCTTCGTGTTATTATTATAATTTTTCTTTCTCCTTCTTTGTCTGTTCTTATTCTTTTTCTACTGCTACTACGCCTACTTCTCTTCTTCATATTCCTTCATTTTACCTAATGTACTATCCATCAGTATTGAATCCAGGGGCGTGTTTCACGAAGACTAAGATTGACTTTAAGTTGGACTTAACTTAGTAGGCCATTCATGCCACTAGTTCCTCTAACCATTCATGGCATTGATTTCTCAAGGTACATATAAATCGTGCTCACAAATCTACAGAATTTACATTTTTTGAAAGTTCAGTATTTAAGGAAAAAATATTATCTAAAGATCATAATTGAGAGACCAATATTGAGAGCAACCAGTGGCATAGATGTCCTGCCATAGTTAAGTTCAACTTAAAGTTGATCTTAGTCTTCTTTAAACATCCCAGGGCCACGTTGCATAAAACTTACCATTGGTAGTAACTTTGCCATCAGTGGTAACTACCATGGTAACAGGGCTCAACAGCCAATCAAAATCTAGATTTCCATGGTAGTTACCATTGATGGCAAAGTTACCATCAATGGTAAGTTTTGTGCAATGGGGCCCAGGTGTTAAATGGTAGCTTAATTACTTATGATACTTGATAACTAACCAAAGGGTATCAAAAGTAAAACTATACGGCTTATACCCATATTGATAAGTTGGGTGGACTTATAGGTCTATATGCAATTAATTGATGACCTATTAGTTAACGTTCGTAATCGAGGGTTTTACATCAAGAATGTTCTCATGTGGACTTAAAGGTTTTGTACAACATGCATGAACATTTAACCTATATGATTATTTATTTAAAGCTGGTAAATCGGTTACAACTTACTTCCAGGACATCTTAGTTTATGTGTATTCTTTGTTATTACTTGTAATTATGATCCTCGCAATCGATATCACGTGACGAGGTATGGACGAATTATTAGTCCACATCTTTGTATGTGTAAGAGCTATCTGAGTCAAATACTCCACTTTGGAAAATGTTCCACGGGGCCTGCATGTAACATGTAAGAGTAGTGGTGTTGGATAGTTTTCTTCTCCCCCCCCCCCAATGTTTTTGCCCATTTCGCCACCACCCCTGAAAGGTGAGCCCCCTGGAATGTTTGCCCCCCCCCCCCAATCCCAAACTTGCAGGCGCCCCTGTATATATGCCAGTCAGTTTCTTCCTCGTCCGGTGCTGACTCCGATCAGGGAGCTTGCACGTACAGCTTTATCTGTCGATGCAAAGACAACAGGGTATCTTGGACTAAAGAAAGATACCTTTCTACTCATATTAAACGAATGTTACCATGAAAGGAAGTTAATCATAACACGACAAGTGATTGACTGAAAGTGGCGGGATGGTAGTCGGGATTTAGTCGAGTTATCCACATGCACAGGTATCGAATATATCAAATATAAAGCCTGACAAAGTATAAAGGGGCAAACTAATACCTGAGTCGAACTTTGTGTCTAAAAGCGGATGGAATAATTAACCTCCTATAGACTCGATGCAACCATGGACCTACTACAAATGGTGCAGCCCTATTAAAACTAGATAAAACGTCAGTTCTCGCGTTGTACTCTTTTTCTCAACAACGCAAAAGCTCGGACACATTGGCAACCGACTCTGAAACCGACCTGTAAAATGTATTGTATTGCACTTGGTTTCATGATTGTGTATCAGCTTTTTAGCAATTGTCAGCGAAATAGGCCAGTGGGTTGAACATATCAAGGAGAGGTGTCGAAGTCGAGTGGTTTAAGCATTGACTTGAAATTCAAAGGTCGTGGGTTTGAACCCCGACACGGCACTAATATCCTTTGGCAATGCATTAATCTATACTTGCCACTCCATACCCAGGAGGTAAATGAGAACCTGGTAGGATGACAAAAGCCTTGCGTTAGCAATTGCCATATGGTCTCACGGTGACCATATGGTAGGAATACTCCACGGGGAGTGAAGGTGGTGCACATTGAGCAATTAGAAACACGCTTAGAAACGGTATTTCATATTGAATGCTATATAAATCCAGATTATTATTATCTTGCATTTTATAGCAAAAAAATGCAATCGTCTGAATTTACATCGGCTTTTTCTTTCTTATCTCAGCCTTATCTCACAGAGGCAATCATGTCATAGAACTTTGACCGTCATTAATGATTAGTCACGACCTCGGTGAAAGACACATACTAAACACAGTCACACCAAAGAGACCGGCAACGTCAAACTAAAGAATATATATATATATATATATATATATATATATATATATATATATATATATAATAGTGTAAACTTACAGAGCGCACCCACCGTCCAGGGACGCTCATGGCGCTATAGCTCAGCAACAGTTCTCTTTGATACAAGTAAAGTAAATAATTTTGCAATATTTTTTGCAATATTTTGTTATGACCCTTTTCAATCCTCAGTGGGGCCCGGTGCCCTCCAGCTGCTCCGTTCACTGACAATTTAAGGGACTAGCCCAGTCAGCACATTATTCACAGAAGCTCTAGCATCTGAGGCCAACAGGCCCTACACAGGCAGCCAATGAGACTAAAGGGTGATAACTAATTAATTTCAAATGTATATACAAATAACATATCAATTATGGATTTATTAAATTAAACTTATACTAGAAAATAAGTGTATTTGAAACAGGTTGGACTGTATGAATAAGGTATTACACTCCTTGATCATTAAATGTCAGGAATATATTGCATTTATCTACATGCTTATGATTGTAGGTATGAGGATTATGTAAGAAATTAAAAACATAATAAATAAATACAGATATAACGTATTATCCTTAAGTAAATAAAACTGGGGTCAATCTAACACTGTTAGAAGTTTGTTCATCAGTAGTAGATGGGGAGAAGGGGGGGGGGGGATAATAACCCTGGACAAAATAATGTGATGGAAGTCGATTCATAAGTACATTGTTTAATTAAGCCATGCTCCCCCCCCCCCCCCAGTAACTCCGGACCCATTCCCTTTTCTTTCTTGTTTGTCAGACTATGTTGAATAATGGTAGGCGTATCATTCGGAAAGGGAAGTCTCGATCTTCTGTCAATCCATGTCAAGGAACGTTACGTAATAGTTTTTCGTTTACTTTTTGAACTTCTTTATCTCTGAATTCGTACGATACTGATTGGGAAATTACGCTGTGCTCGTATCTCACATACACTATTGTCCATTTTTTCTACATGTCTAGTCATTCTCTCGCATAGTCATATCAAAGAAGTAACTAACGGGTCTTATATTATAAGGGATTCCCCTTTGTGATTATTATTATACATAAAAAGGGAATGGTTTACTTGTCTACGATGCTTTCTTTAAAGTTACTTTTATTGTCAATGATTTATGGGACGATAGCAGCCTGGTTGGCATACCATACAGGAACGACATCATTAGGAGGCTGGTTTTCCGGTGAGTTATGGCAGACCTAAATTGAGTTTTGTGTTGAAGTAGCAATATGGCCTGAAGCTTTCCAATTGAAATAAAATGTACTTTATTTGTAGGGAAAATTAAACGATGTTATAATCAGCTTCATTTATTTTGTAGTCTTTGAACAGGGGTGTCGCTAGACCTTTTTCAGTGGGGGGGGGGGGGGGGGGGGGGGGGGTTAGAGGCCACCGATTACCGACAAAAGTAGCCACCAATAACCGACAAATTGTCCCACTGTCTACAAATTTAGCCCTATAAACCCGGGGCCGAAGGCTAAATTATTTTTCCTATGAACTATCTAAAGTACTTGCGAATGCGCCCGTTTTCCCCTCCAGCGCGAAGCGCGGAAGCTTTTACGTGTCATTAAATTTTCAGAGAAAGGAGACGATTTGATGTTCCGTTTTCGACTCTTAATCCTTGTCTGAATTCAGTTTCCCCCTTCCGTGCGTTTCCTTAAATATTCAATATAGTGAAAGAAGACGATTCGTTGTACCGTTCTCGACTCTTAATTCTTGTCTGAATTCAGTTTCCCCCTTCCCGCGCGTAGCGCGGAAGCATAAACGTGTCATCAAAAATTATTAGTGAAAAAGACGATTCAATGTACCGTTTTCGGCTCTTAATCATTGTCTGAATTCAGTTTTCCCATTCAGCGCGAAGCGCAGAAGCTTTGGCGTGTCATTAAATTATCAGAGAAAGGAGACGATTCGTTGTTCCGTTTCCGACTCTTAAACCCTTATTTTAGGAAGGTGAATTTTCGAGAAAATACAAGTATTATTATTGTTGTAGTCTCTCTCGAACTTGTCACAGCGGATAAAAGGTCACAGTTCGTAGGGGGAAAATGCCGGCCGACCGACATTATACATCTCACCGACATCACACAGCTGACCCGACACAGCAACATATCTATGTGTATCTTTCTTGCTCTCTCGACGAGACGACTTGACCCCGAACCCCCCTCTCCTTTACTTCCACCAGTCCTTTCTCAGGCTCTTGCCCCCTTCCTCCTCCCTTTCATCCCCGTATTTTTTTGTTTCCTTTTGCTCTTTTTTCTTCATTTTTCCTTTTCTCCTTTTCCTTCTTTTCTTTCTGTTTCTTTCTTTTCTCTCCTTCCTCTTTTTCTTTTGTCTCTTTCTTTCTTATCTTCTCTTTCCTTTCTTTTCCTTCTACCTATATTACCATCCACTGCCAAGGCTGAAACTGATTCTGGAGGATGTTGTTTTGGCGGTATTTAAGAGGGTAGCTTACCTGGATAGTGTTTAGGAAGTAAACGTATAGGGTTGTCGGAAACGGGGTTATTTTCCTTGAATATACGTAATTCTTTTCGCATGTTTTATAAGCACTACGACTTATTCTATGGAACTATAGTAACCGCCGGTCCGCGGGTTATGAAACAATCTCAGACATTCCGTCCCAAATTAAATGTATGATTTTATTTTATAATAAATATGATTATTCCTTGCATCTTTCTCCAGGATTCCTTGCTGTCGCTGCGTCCTGCATCTCTGTCCTGTTCTTATGGATCCTCACCCTCCGTCCATCTCCTAAGCAGGGAGTCATATCGGTTCTGCATCATCTGTACTTCGCAGGCAAGTCTTACATCAGGGGAAAGTATTTCCTTCGGAAACTAAAGACAGCGTGGAAGAACCCTCGTTATGCTCAGGATCAGTTTCTCATGAGAGTTCTCAAGGAAAATGGAGATACAGACTACGGAAGGAAGTTCAAGCTCAAGAACATCGTAAGCGCAGAGGAGTTCCGAAAACGTCATCCGTTGACGACCTACGAAGATTACAAACCTTATGTCGAACGGGTAATGGCTGGAGAGCAAGGTGTGATGACCCAGGTCATGCCGAATGCGTTTATACAAACCTCGGGTACGACAGGTCCCTCAAAGTATTTCCCACAGAGAGATCACAGGCTTGTATTGACAAGATGGCTGGATGTTGTGTTTACCAGTCTGTATGAAGTATGCCCACGTTTAGGGATACTCCAGAAGAAAATGTTCCACTACGTCCAACCAGTAATATCTCGGGCAAAAAGTGGAGGGAGTATTCGTCCAGGCATTTCGTTGTACGAAGATGGCTTTATGGCATCCTGCTACACAACACCGCCTGCTGGTTTCCGTATTCAGTCCTTCAAAGAGGCAAATTACATCCATCTCCTTTTTGCTCTCCTCGATCCAAACCTGGGTGTCATATATGCAGTTTTCATTGGTGCCATTGATAATGTAATGAAGCAACTTGAGCAATGTTGGGAGGACATTGTGTATGATATCGAGCATGGAACAATCAATGAGAAGGTTAAGTTCGACGATGCTGACATCAGATCCTTACTTGAACAGGCTCTTGGCGGAGGTCACCCGGAGAGGGCGGGCGAGCTCAGAAGTCAATTCGAAAAAGGGTTTGACGGCATCATGAAAAGGGTGTGGCCAAACCTTGAGGTGCTGGTAGCTGTGGAAAACGTCGGAATCTGGCCAAATCTAAAAGCAAAATACGCAAAAGGTAGATGGCTATTAGCACTTTTTTGTAGGTTTGATGTTTTGTTAATAGTTCTATTATGTTGTTCATTATATTATAGTAGTTGTTTTTATACGCTTAAAGGAAGGTTACAATTGTGCTATTGCCCCGAGGCGTGCCGAGGGCAATAGCCCAATTGTAACCTTCCCGAGAGCGTATAAAAACAACTATTTCTCGAATATTAAAGCAGTCATTAATACTTTTATATGCCGAAAACAAAAGAGTCAACTATATAATGACACCACCTTGGCCTTTCTCTAGTTTATCTGCACGGTTGTTTTTTATGAGTGTATCTTTGAGAGTAGACTAGATCTAGATTCTAGTCTAAGCAAGATATTTTTACAATTTTGGGCCGGCCCTGTGGGGAATAGAGAGAAGAACCTGCGCTTTCATATGACACCTCACTTATTGAGTATCAACTTCAGGGTCACAACAGATAAAGGTTTGAATCTCGAATTGAAAACAAAAATTGACTTTTTTTGCATGGTCGCGCAATGCACGTAGACTGCATAGAGACTGCATTGCGTGTAATCTCTATGGGAAGAATACAGCACACAACATCGGGTGCGATCGCTCAAACCATTTTTTAACATGTAAACCTATGGGGTAACCATGAAGACTGAACTATTTTCCCGGTAACCATGGTTACTGGGATTTTAAAACTGTTTTAACCATGGTTACTGGGAATTTTACAGAAATAGTTAAAGTTTATGAATGCAATTTTGACCAATCAGATGGCTGGATTTCTTAAGTGAGGTGTATAATATTTAATATTGTCCTATATTAGGAACATAAAACCTAACAAATAGCTTCAATGCGTTTCACACCAGCCCCCCCCCCCCCCCCCCCCCCCCCCCCCCCCCCCCCCCCCCCCCCCCCCCCCCCCACTCCGGGGTCGGAATGACCCCATGCGTGTTACCAAAATGTCCGGTAAAGGGGTACTTTTCGTGCGACAAAGTCCGGCCCGAGAATTGTAAAAAAAAAAAGGGGTGTATTAACTTTTCACCCGGAAATTTCTTTAAAAGGGGGGTTTTTTTCTTTTTTTCTCTCGTCTCTTTGGACTCCTGAGAAATTATTCCGAATTTAGGGGGGTACATTGAGCATTTTTTCATAATTTAGGGGGGTCTCCAAGGCAGGAAAAGCCCGCGAAAGGGGGGTTCGGAAATGTTGGCAGTCCTCAGATAGGGGGTGCTTTTAAAAAGAGGGAACGAGCATATGCGTACCCTAAATAACACTGAGTGGGGGGGGGGGGGGGCGGGGTTTCACAAATCAAAGACAGAGGAATTCATAGTTTCCCTCCTGCGCATAACATATACCCTCTGTATACATGAGGAAAATTGGGGAAGGGGGGGGGGGGTAAGAGAGAAAAACAAAATCACGCCTCGTAAATTTTCGTTATCCTTTGAAAAAGTCCTATTGTCACTTACGCTGCTGCACTTTCCGTTATCAATCTGACTACAATACTGACAGAAACATGAACAATAAGACACTAGCTTCATCATAGAAGAAATAATCATAAAGATAGTTCTTCTTGTTATACATATTGCTTGTTATACGCTCCAGTAATATTACCCCGATTTCAGCGTCGCTGGTATGTCTTCGCTCTAGTTTTTTTAAAGAACTTATTTCTGCCTGATACTCATGTGTCTCACCTGGGTCGAGTGTGCCAAATGTTAATTCTTGCCAGAAAAGGGTAAATGATGTGTCATGGACTCGATCCCCTTACCTTGTGATGTATATTCCGGTGATTATTTTACCAACTAGACTATACGACACCTCTAAACATCATGAGAAGGCGTTGTAATACAAAAGAATTTAAGGTTGTACGATTACACCGTTCTCATTCCTTCATCGTTTTACAGGTATACCACTTGTCAACTTTGGATACGGAACATCTGAAGGAATGCATCAAGGGTTAAACCCATGGTTATATGATGACAATCATGGCCTGGCTTTCTGGATCACGGACTCCTTCTTCGAATTCATCAAACATGAAGACTCGTGAGTGTATTTGATTATTATACATACATGACTATCATCTGTGTGTTCGCATGTAATAATAATAATAATAATAATAATAATAATCGTTTTAAAGACCGTCAATACTACTGGGCCAGAAGGGATTAGACCACACAGCGAGGTCACTGACAGGTGGCTATCTCATTAACTCAGCTCTCAACTAACATAAGAAAAAGAGGATCATGGGGGACCAACAGGCACCGATTGGGGAAGTGTTCTATATAGAGGGAGCAAGTAGCTACAAGTAGGACAGTGGGGCTTTAAAGTCCACTCCAAATTTTATTAAGTTAAACCGAAAATGGAAATTCTTTTTGCCCAATTGATCGTGAGCCCGGCAGTCACTGAGCAGCGTCAGATCGACGTTGCTCTATATCCCTTATTGTTGAACGCCAAACAAGGTAGCAGCAATTCCCGTCTTTTAACGTCTTTTTGTATGACGCGGCCGGGATTCGAACCCACGACCTCCGTGTTTATTTATATGTATATGTTTTATATATTTTTAAACTCATAAACACGTAGCGCAATCACACGCGCACACCCACGTACATACACACACACGTGCGCGCACACAACTCTATGATCACGGTGAATTATTATGGGAATGTTATGTGCTTCTTGCATATGTAACTATAAGGAATCCCACCATGGACAAGGTAAATAACGTTTGTTGAAGTCATATCATTGCTAGGATCACTGTGTTTCGACCAGTGTGTGTAATCATCAGGGAACATTTATTTCTCTCCTTAATTGGGTCTGTAATTGAAAACATGTAGACCTAAAATACTAGAGAATTAGAGAGGGAGAGACAATATTCAGTAAATTTATTTCATGTCTACATTGAAATCGATTATTGCGCACTATTATGATTTCGTATGGTGACATCAATTCAACAGGCATGAGAATCAGCCTAAAACGCTCTTCATTGACGAACTCGAGATCGGGAAGGAGTACGAGATCGTCTTTACCCAAGACAGTGGACTCTATCGATACAGAGTAGGAGATGTCATTAGGATAACTGGCTATCACTACAACTGTCCTACATTTGAATTCATGTATAGGTGAGTAGGATTTTATGTCCATTGGCGAGAGGAACTTGTGGTTGTATTCTGAAAACGATGCTTTCTTTAATGATATAGTAAAATGATGTTAATTGTCATAACAAATCTAAATTGGGACAAGTCACTGGCTACCATGGTTAATATATTCGCAAATTTTGCTGCGTTTGGGTAAAGTTAAAAGAGATATGTACGAACGCACCAATGGTGTTAGTCTGTGGTGTTAGAAAGTGTAAGTTCCGCGCATTTCGAGTCTGTTATGATCGACAATGAGCTAGCATAAGAGATAACGACGTTTTCAGAATACAGCTGCCTCTGGCTAATAGGATAAATAAGACCATCTATATAATTTTCGTAGGGAAAGCCAGCCATAGTATGTTTATCAATTTGCTTTGGATATTCAAAAGCTGCATGGTATACAGTAGAGAATATTGTAAGTATATCTTACCAAAGACTGGCACAGTTATCATTTATCCAAAAGTCCTTTGAAAACACACGGAAACATTATATCACAAAAGAATGTGCGCTCTGCAGAAACGGAATGTTCGCATTATTATAATCATTATTATTATTAGTATTATCATTATTAATATCATTATATTATTACTACTTTTATTATGATTTTGTCTTCTTTGGCAGAATGGGGTTGATGTTGAACTTGCGGTATGAGAAGATGAACCAGGTTGTTCTTAAAGCAGGACTTCAGTCGGCCGTGGGGCAGTGGAATGATGTTAGGCTAGTCGAGTATGCAGTGGCTGAAAGCACACTTATTCCGAAATCATTCTCAGGTATCCCACTGTTTAAGATCCTCATAACGTAATTCCATCATTTAGTGTCAAACGGACGGTATCTGGATTTTTAAGAGAAAATCACATTTATAGAAAGTTAAATTTCTGCCCTTTCATATGACACCTCAATCAGGGAAAATGAGCCAGGAATAACAAAGTTCTGTTTGTTTAAAGTAATGCTTGCATCTCCGTAATTTGATCAAATGAGTTCATTTTCACTGGCTGCCTGCCGTAGCAACAAACAGAGTTGACAAAAGACTTAACTCCGTTTCGTTGACGATCAGCTTTTAATCACTCATGCATGAAATATGAATCATATGAGTTGCATCAAATGAAAGAAGAGGATCTAAGCTTTCCAAATATGTTTCATTAATTTATTAATCATAATTGTGATAAAGTTATGATAAAACATCGATAATTCTCGGTTTCGTTTTTTCTAGGACGCACTGTATATATTGTTCAATCCAATTTCACTGTAGAAATAAACCATCGAATTCTACTCGTATGTATTTTGTGGTATATCAGATATTTCGCATGCAGCTAGCACACAAAATGCACTAGTCTTCGACTCGTGTAGTATTCGCAGGCTGAATGCAATATATTTGATATATACTCAAGGGCAACCAATATTATATGACAATGCAAATACTGCGCTCAGCGTGCAATATTGCAACAATATTGCACGCTGGCTCCCCATCGTTGAAGTGACGTAATACATGGAGGTAAAACAAAATGCTAACAATATTGAACTCGATCACACAAAGGGATTCAAATACAAGATTTTATTCTCTGGGACTAAAAGCAGATCGTATGCATAATAATTGTTCTTATAACGATTGAGCATGGAATATATGTATAATGTAATAACTATGTATACATACACACTTATCTGCACTAGGTTCAAATAATTTCAATACTTCTAATGTGGAAAAGTGATTCTTAGATTTGATTGGAGCATTGTGGGGGTATAGAAATCTATGGAATTACGAATTCCAAAATAGTAGTACTTGGTACTAAAGTCCTTCTCGAGCTCTGTTTTCCATCTAAATCTTCGATCATATTCAATCCATCTTTGTTCAGATTTCGAAGAGAATGAAGACATGCCGTACTACGTGATGTTCTTAGAACTAGACCAGGCAGGAAGCACAAGCATAAATAAGGAGACCGAGACCGCGAAGGTTAATGAGACCACGAATTCAGTAAGTGACTTGTGTACTTTTTGGCTTACAAATTTAGTCAAAATTATATTTAATGCCATATGCCTTTATCAGAACAGTATAACAAAAATGATGCTGCTTGCAAGTATCGGCTGACGACGGATAGTCAACCTGTTTGAAACGTCGAGCCACTCCCGCCACTCATCCTCTCCAAGCGCTATAGTTCTCCTTAGAACCAGAAAGATAAGTCTTTTTCAAGACTATTATCAACAGTCCTTTTCAGGACTACACGTACACCCTCAAGAAAGATTACAGAGTCCTTTTCAGGACCCCCTCAATCCTCTCTCTCTCTCACACATGGTGCACCCGCAAGCCTACTGTATAAAAAAAATGATATTACTATAACCATTTTTGTATCAACACGGGATTCTTCTTTATATAGCGCTCATATATTCCTCTCAAGGCGTTTAAGGCGCTCCAATAATATTACACAGGCTTTATTTACGTTTTCAATCCCGATGCTCCCAGCATTCAAGGGATCTTCTTACTATTACAGGCCTTTTCCAGGTACCCATTTTCTACACCTGGATGAAGAGTGGCATATATGCAGATAAATCGTTTACAAATGACACTTGGACATTTTTGACAACTTCATGCCAAATGTGTTTGTAAGGTCTACATAACATTTTTCTGTTCAGTGCACGTGACAAGATTGAGTAAACCAATGATAATTCATCAAAACCTGATAACATACACCAATTCCTATTTACTTTACTAAATAATCAACCTTTCTTTGTTGTTTCCACATTATTTCACATGCGTAACCAGAACTCAACTGTATCCTTAAATTTTTAACAAAATGATAGAAGTATAAACATTGTGGCGAGAAACAAAAATATAGGATTATTAATCAATGTGTAATTTCGTTGTACTGTCTCCCATCTTCTTTTTTTTAAATATTTGTATAGATCGACAGAGAGCTCCGTGATCGTAACAGCGACTACGAGAGACTACGGAGAGAAGGCGCCATTTCACGCCCACGTGTCCACATCGTGAAACCCGGCACGTTTGAAGATTTCGAACAATACGTGGTGAAGACGACCAACACTACTGCAAACCAGTACAAAGTACCGCGGAGAATTCGCACTGTAGACACTCTAAACTTTATGTATGATCATGTCTTATACATGCAGTCCTGACAACAATGTGGGTTTATGTCACTAACGATCAGGTAGAGTGTAGCAAGCGAAGAGAGTGGACCATAAATTGGCGTGGGGTCCAGGGGCTTTGCCCCGAAAGCTCAGGGGTTTTAGGCATTATTACGGTCAGATAAGCATATATAGATACCTTATTTGTGACACCGACAGGTCAATAATTATTGTTGTGGGGTCCAGGGGGCTGAGCCCCATGAAGCCCAGGGGTTTTAGGCCATATGGGTTAATAAATGACACAAAGGGAGTGACAAATGATACACGTTACTCGGATCTAATACCATGTTTAGATTTATTATCACACAACAATCGACACACTTTCACAGTATATAAACACCAAGTGCTATTATATACATGTATAGGCACACATATATTTCTGAATTATCTTACAGCAAAAAAAGCTAAAAACAGGAAAGAAGTGCATAGATGAAATGGATGGAATGTTTTCGTCAAGCTTAGTATGTACAATCATTGACCACTTATAGAAAGACTTATAGCTAGTGCTTTGTGTGTGAGGGTTCTTTTCCCCCTTTTTCTCATAACATCCATACTTATATACTCTAAAATAAATACCTGCAATAGCTACACTGACATATTGTAAACCATGTATAATTACATGAATACTAAACAATTTCATTTTCACAAAGCCATTGCATATTTACAAATGTACAAAAGTATTAATATTAATTAACTTCATTTTCACTACTATAATATCTTCATAATGATTCTGAACAAAGTATAGCAATTAACTAATTAACTGAATTAATTCACACAGATGGCAGAGCAAATATAAAGATAAATTATCTTACAGTTGGTGGGATAGACTGAATGTTCATGTATAGACTTATGTCTCATGTGTCATTGATAGCATGTACAGTGTATGGTGCAAATGGCAAAATGAATTTTGCAGTTAGTATATTAATAAAAAAAACTCTTTATTTCTTTTATATACATATCTATTTGATTATATATAAATCAGTTACTTTTCATCACTTGCTTCATAATAATTGAATACTTTTGTTGTATAAAGCTATATTGAATGAATTAAAATAATCTTAATATATCACGATACTATACAACACTTCAGATTTACATGTACCTAAGAAAAGGTGTATGAATGGCACTATGTCAAGCTTTTACACATGTAAGTTTTGACATATAATGTTCTATACAGATATGTACAAAAATGGATGGAATGGATAATGGTTATATAATCAAAATCTAATTTTTATCAAACCTTTCAGTTTCATACTTATCCAACCAAAGATAATTAAAATGTCAAACCCAAACGTGTGCTGTACATAGAAATCAATAGAATATATTATCCATAAAATATGTTACAAATGACGATAAGCACAATTGAATTATACTTCGATGTCACTGTAGTGTCAAGGTGTTGCATTTTGCATCAGATTCTATAAGATTTGATAAATGTATTAAATAGGACATACATGTATATATAGTACTAGTTGCTATTGAATACGCATACATTTGGACGGAATGTGTAAACAGAATGTAGTAGTGTTTACATGTCATTAGATGCTATTCATTTACCAAGTTCACATACATAGTGTTTGTAGTATAAACATAGCTTTCACTTAATTACAGTCTTGTAGAGTAATTGCATTGCTTAGAAACATTTAGTAATCTTCTTATTATTGCATTATAGTAGAATTATATGGAACTCATTTGAGAGAAGTATCATGTTACAGTAGGTATAATACTCATAATTATAATACAATGTTTACATGAAACAACCTTGATATTTTAGCAAGTTCTCATCTTTTTAAATGTCAGAACCTTCATTTTTGCTATATAATTATACAGCCTTCTACTGATGTTTTATTCAAAACAATGTTAAAACTTTTGTTTTCGATGTCTTACTTTCTGTTGTACAACATGTTGATGTATTACTTGCACACAAGATTATTTAATTACTAATTCTACATATGTATTGTAAAATTAATAGTTTATCATCAGAAAGGTTGTATGGTTATCCTTGCTTCAATGGAGATACTCATGAAGACGTAGCATAAACTCTCTTCAGTTTCCACATGTTGGAATCTAAAGTGCAGGCTAGATCAACCTTCAACACTGCCTCGCTCCTGTAAAGCTCCTCCGTACGCACATCTCCAATGTGCACTGGACAAGGGTAGACAGAGAGTGGTGATCCCTTCTCACTTCCTGCTTGTGCATGGTGCTCAATGGCTGTGGGCTTGAGCCATACAACAGGAAGAGGAGAAGAGTGGTGGGATGGAGAGGTGGAGTTGGGAAGATGGATGAGAGAGCGTTTGGGGTCCCAGTTTGCATTGTGGAGGGCGAGACCCAACAGGTAGACCCCTTGGGCAGGGGCCTTCGATGGGCATTTCTCCATGCCTGTAACCTGAAGTTTGAAAGAATGGTTTTTTAAATATCAATTTTTATAACACTGTACTACAAAGAAAAAACAAATCAGAGCTACATGTAGCCTTCATTTATTGGGCTATTGACCCCCAAAGCCTCAGCAGTTATTCTGTTTACTTGTAGTTATACAGTACATTCTTGTATGACATTGTTGATAAAGTTATGATGCACTCTTTATACAGGAAATGTATATATCAGATATTCTACAAATATAAAGCATTAAACACAAACATCAAGAAAAATATACCAAATGATTTATAAAGCCTCAATAATTAAAGAGTTTTTAATCAAAACATATCAACAGACTTTGTTTTTCATTATAACACCTGGTTATTAAAGTTGTGAGCAAAACTCTGTAAAAGTGGGAGATATTCCTAGAATCTGATCACAATATGAGGTATCGGTACATCCCAAAAAAGACAAAGTTAATTGCCATATCTACTAGACAAGTTAATATAACGGTAATGATAATGAGAAATAGAGAGAGGAAAACAAATGTTTCTTTACCTCAATGTCCATCTGAAGCTGGTGTAGTTCCAGATATTCCTTTCTCCCATGTTCCAGCATAACAGCATCCATGAACGCCTTAGGGTGAGAAAAGGATTCCAGTCTGTAGTATGGTGCCACAGCTTCACCCATATCCACATAGCCATGCATGGCCTCCACCGTCTTCCTCAATGCCTTCATCCAGTCCGGCAACAAGGTCCTGCTCGGAGGGACACCACCCCTTCGAAGGGCCCACCTGCTGGGGATGACGTTGCAGCCGAGAGCGGTGAGGATGTCATGGACGTCAGGCGCGAGGGCGGCCTCTCCTACGACCGCCTTCAGGAGGAGGTCAAGGTCAGCCTGGACTCGGTCAAGGAGACCGGACAGGATGGAGATCTCGGCGGAGATGAAGTTCTGGAGATGGTTGAGGGATTCTGGAGATGCCGGTGGCAGCGGTGGGATACATGAGAGTTCTTCCTCCAGGGAGAGGAGGAGCTTGGGAAGGGACTGGCAACACCAGGTTTGATGGACAGGTCTACAACGTTCAAGAGCTTGGAGAGCATCAGATAGATATCTGAAAAATGCCAGATAAAAGACGGGATGTAGTTAAATAATTTACTAGCATGTCACATTTAAATGTGCTTTCACTAGAAAAAATGGATAAATATACATTGGACAAAGATTTGATGCATGATTTCTCCTATTCTCAATTTTAAATATTTTCAATTTTACTGGGATTCAATCAATCTCTCACTACTTGCTGTCAAAGCAATTTTTTCGAAGCATTACTTGTAGCCTACAAATGTTATATGTATGGGGGGGGGGTGGTTGTTTTGTTTTTTAGTGACTTACAGTAACTCACCTTTACTGATTTGAGATGAAACTTAAGGGACAAACTGATAGTGATTAATGGTGGAATGGCATACATTGTAAATGCAAAATATTGTGCATTTTGAATAGAAAATCTAAACTAAAAGATTATTTTCTTTTGATATGCAATTTCATACCACTGAGAAGCGTTGCTAACAAGATTTAATCAGTGTGAAGTTTCAATTAGCAGTCAAAAGTAAATTTATTTCAGTCTACAGCACATGCATGTGATGTGTCTTTTAAAATGTGAGCCAAGTTGTTCTCATCTCTCAAATTATTTGATTTAAACTAACCTGCTTGATCTTTTCTCTTGGAGCTTCTGTGCATTGGGTGCTAACCCGAGATGAGCCGGCTCCACATCATCCTGCATCGTATTGAAAAGATGCTGGAATCTCCTAGCGACCATGTTAGCGCCGGAGCTACCTGAGCGCCTCCCTCGGCTCATCTCGGTCACTAGAGAAGCAAGAAGAGATTCCGCTCCCATGGAAGAGGGCATTTTCTGATGAAAGAAGAGGAGGAAAACAACTCATTAGAAATCTACAATGGATTTATCATTTCGTCATTAAAAGAATCTGAAAGTACCTATTTCTGAGAATGAAGGGTGGGTGCCGATTATAATCACTACCCCAGCTTCCAGGCATTTCTTCCTACCTACACGGTACCGTTTAACTACAATAGTAGCAGATGTAGATGAGTGTTCTGAGACAGGATGTTTTACTTCAGCTTAGATTTGGACCAGTTGATATTAGTCTGAACTTCAAGAGGAAAGACACACATTTCTTTGTCTACAACTATGAGATGCCCATGATTATTTACCATTTGGGTGGTTAACGGCAACTATAGCAATGCATGCGTTAACATGAAAACAGAGTCCCAAGCAGTTCATGAAAACCAAATTCCCTGTTGCTTCCCTGATTTTTATCTGATGGAGTTTCACAAAAGTTTTTACAAAAGGAGTCATTTCACACACAACAAGCCACAACAGCTAATTATCCAGTAAATATGCTATTCGAATATTAGAGAGAAAATATAAGAGACCGACTACTTTATTTTGAACTGATGAAATAACTGATTTTCGCCTGATTCAAGTAATATATAATACAAGTAATAAAATCTTGCCAAAGGATATTAGTGCTGTGTCAGGATCCTGAAAAGCAGTCATGTGATGACCTACCTTGAGACTTGCCCATGGCTGGAGCAGGCTGTCAATCAAGGAATCCACAATCTCAGCATCATCCAGGATGTCAGCATGACCACCGTACACCAGGTGACTGATAAATGTCCTCAGGGTCTGGATGCTCTCCCAAGGGGATTCCCCTTTGTGGCACCAATTAAGACATGACATCATAGCCTTCAGGTCCGACACTCCCCTGAAGATTGAAAAGGTTAGAGAGTGTTTTATATACATTCCCTTTATGTATTTGTTATTCTGTTTTGAAAGTGTATTTACAACCTATGGAAAAGTTATGTGCTTATAGATTATTTTGCAATCTGTTTTGTTATTTCAATTGCTTTGCTATTTTGAAGTGTGTTTACAATGGGTCTCACAACTTATATGCATCACTGAATATGTTTTTAAGTGAGTTTTAAGGGAGTGTGCATTTGTTCGGAAATGAAGAACTTCTTTGGCCTCTATGGGGGAGTCGATGGGTCATTTGGAGATAGCATGGCGCTTGCTGCCTCATGAGTCAGAGATGCCGACCTCTTGACACAAAAAAACAGGCTGAGTACCCTAAAAAATCAGATTTTCACGAAAACTTGACACACTACCACTGTCCCGTCGGCCCGTGCCTGTAAAATTTCAGAAAAATGTTTGCTCTTTCATTAAAATTTAATGAAAAAAATTGTAAAGCAAAGTTTTTGAATCGTATTTTAAGATTTTAATATCGTATTTCACTTCTATTATCATACTAAATATGATTTAATCGTACTCGTTGGCATCTCTGATGAGTATATGCCAGAGAATCAAACTGAAGTACATTTATCTCATGACACTCAAAGTCAATGAATCTAGAAATACATAGCTATTACAGAATCCTTTTCCAACAAATAATGGAATTGGAAGTAAATTTCTTAAATTATGGTAAGAATGTGGTATCTCACTTATGATGGCAGGGGGAACTTATTTTGACATTCCATGATTCTTTTTTATTTGTGAACATATATTTGCATGTAAGTTGTGTATGAAAATTAAAATGATAAAATCAGGCACAAGGAAAGCGCTTGAAGAAATTTGATGTGGTTGATGAATCCACAGATAGTTAACTAATAAATGAATTGAATATCATGATATGAAAAAGGGAGATGTGAGTTGGTCTAGCGGTACGTTCACTTGGTCAGCTCTCTGTCTTCACCTACAAACTGGCTCAGGCAACCCCTGTTTGAAACTGAGTCACGTCTTTTGGATGGTGACGTCCAAGGTCGGTCCCCAGACGTAAATAATCATATCTGATTGATTCACGTCTGTAAAAAACCCAATTTCACACAAATTCACTTACCATGAGTAGTCTTTGTTGAAGCCAAGTTGATAGAACAGCCTTCTATGTGAGAGCACAGTGTGAAGCAGGGCCATACAGAATACTAACTCGGTCAAACTCTGTTAAAAAAATAAAATATTACAAATTAAAATCAGAATCGTTTAATATTCAACGTTAATATTGCTTTAATACTATATTCTGTTATACTACAACGTACATGTTTATAATAATATAACATAATGTCTCTAAGTGCTTGAAAAGATCCCTGTGCTTTTTATATGCATATGGTTGTCAAATAAGCAACCATTTAAAAAAATTGAAGGATACTCAAGAACATCGCACTTGTATCATATTCATACATATCAAAAGAACACTGATTTTAAAATCTTTCGGGTGCCACAGGGTTTATTTCTAAACCCTTTTCATGATTTCAATAACTTTTTTTTTTCGAAGCCAGAAGGGTGTGTCATCTCTTACACATGTATATGTATTTATTAACTCTTATCCTGCCATAATGAATACAGCCTAATGCCACAGGGCTAATCCCCATTGTGCCAAGACTCAAATCCCCTGTGCCAAGTTAATTTTGAGATAATCGGATTAACGCGATGGTACTATCAATATCGTGTGCAAAACACCAGGCACAGTGCAATGGGCATGAACAATAACTGCTATTACGAATGTGAGCATGCATGCACAAAGCAGATAAGCGGTACGTAGCTCACTCGCAGGAATGAAGCAACCAATCGATAGCGTGCTAGTATGTACAAAGCACTATAACGGTAGCGTGCAAGCAGCCTTATAGCAGGATATGAGTTAACGCCCTTCTGTCTCTGAACAAATAACAACATGAATACCACGGCAATTACTTCTGTTGGTTTTTGTCACACCAAATAGCAAAATATAATTTTATATATATTCTACCACAAGCTGTTGGCAATTTTTTTTTTTTTATAGAATATTCAGTACGAATGTGGTTTGAATCTGTAAAGTTTAAAGTGAAAGACAAAACATTAAATCAGCTAGCTTGAACTGTAAGGGTGTCTTGGTTTCCTGGTGCCTTACCTTGGCCTGTGTAGTGGTGACCATGTGTTTATGTTGATCTACAGCAGCCATGGCTTGGTTGAAGAAGGTCCTCAGTGTCGCTTTGAAGTTAGTATTGGTCTGACAAGCCACCTGCATACCATTCTGAATCACTAACCCTGTAAGATCATCACACAAAAACATTTATAATTCCTTAATAGATTTTTTCTTCAAAGATTAAACATTAATAATAAGATTAATCCATTGCCTACGGGAACCGGTTGGTCCCTGTGTAAAGCCTATGGGAATGCAAGAATTCAGTATTCAACAGGTTAAGGGCTACAAATTTGAAGAATTTTTTTAAAAGAAAGTTTATGACATGTAGAGTATATTTTCTTGTCAAGCAGACATAATGGTTGTTAAATGTGAAGAAAAAAGTTAGAATTGATCAGCAAATCAAAGAAAAAAAAGCTAAAAGATAGTTTGTGTGTTTTTAAAAATTAAATGGAAATGTAATTTCTTTTACTTTCTGAAACCAAATTGAAAAAATAAATAGACACAAAGTGTTGCTGTAGATCACTCGTGTATGTATGATATCAAAGGGGATTTTAAAAACACAACGTACCCTAAGCTTATTCCTATTTAAAACCTATCTGCACTAGTTTGGACAGGAGGGGTTAGACCTCCCTACATGGTCACTGGCAGGTGTCATCAAATCAGCTCTCAATTAACATAATAAAAAGGGGACCATGGGGATCAACAGGTACCGCTTAGGCATTATTGGCTGTATAGAGGGCACAAGTAGCTACAAATAGTGCAGTTCGGCTTTAATATTGACTATGAATGAAATAATCTTCATACCAGGAAGAGGAGTCTTGCTGTCAGCCGTAGTGATGAAGATAAGCTTGAAGTTAGAATGCACTTCCATACCCTCGTACATACTGGACGGGCAACGAGATGCCTGGGACATAGTGTCTGTTATTGTGGAGTCGTCTCGCTTTGTCTTCTCCACAGGCTTGGCAGGCAGAGTCTTATCAACATTAGTTGCAGGAGTCACAAGGTGCTACATGAAAAAGAAAAGTTGATATACAATGTATGTTAGGTTTGTACTGAAACATTGTAGTAACTCTTTATTTGTTATGGGCCAAACAATCCTCGACTGCCACATCATGTCTGTTATTGTGGAGTGGTCTCGCTTGGTCTTCTCCAACAGCTTGGCAGGCAGAGTCTTATCAACGTTAGTTGCCGGTGTCACAAGGTGCTACATAAAAAAGACAAGTCAACGCGAAGCGTAGCATCCCCTCGCAGGGTACAAATGGCCTATATACTGTACGTCAAAACAAGTTACATCCATTAATTGGACTATACTATTATATTACTAGGCAAGGAAGTTAACCACTTTTTCACATATATAATTAGGTGTTTTTGCATATTTAATGAGCTATGACCTTTCAGTGGAGAGTAGCTGCCCCTCATCCTTTTATGAAACTTTTTACTGTGTTCTTTATAGTGACATTGTGTACTTCATGTGACATCTTTATAGAGTCTACATTACAAACTTTGTGAATGTCTTGGATGTTCCTGCTTTTTAAAGTCGAGTCTGCAGTGGAGAGTAGCAGCCCCTCATCCTTTTATGAAACTCTCTCCTGTGTTCTTAGTGACATTGTGTACTTCACGTAAGAGTCTACATTACAAACTTTGTGAATTTGTGTTTGGTGCAACGTACTATACTATGCCTTGGATGTTCCTGCTTTTTAAAGTCGAGCCAGCAGTGGAGAGTAGCAGCCCTCATCCTCTTATGAAACTTTTTACTGTGTTCTTAGTGACATTGTGTACTTCATGTGACATCACTTTTATATAGAGTCTACATTACAATCTTTGTGAACTTGTGTTTAGTGCAACGTGCTACGTTTTTTCTACTCTTGAACTCACTGGATTCACCAAGTCTAGATACCATTTTATACAATACATGAACATGTTACCTAAATCACCCCAACAGGATAGACAATGCGGAATTTGCCACCGGAAGGGAAGTAGTAATCGCAGGTGGATATCATGCAATGACTGTGGACAGAATAACCACTCCAGCTGCTGTGGAGTAAGTTCAGCAGAATTCAGATCAATCGTGAATGGCAAACCATGGTATTGCCAAGACTGTTTAGCCCCTTGCACTAGGTGCAACAACAATGTCAAGTATGGTCAACGTGGCCTGGAATGTGACGAATGCAAAGCATGGACCCACAACCAGTGTGCAGGAGTTGACAACGACACTTATGACAATCTAGTTGAGACGTCGTTCAGCTGGGTTTGCCCTTTATGCGAAGCTATCAACTCCTCAAACTCCTCTTCCTTATCTGACGAGGAGGAAGCTGACGAAGACGACAACGGTGACAAGAATGATTGCGACCACGGCAAAGACAAGGAGAACAGAGACAATAGATCTTCATCAAAATTCAACTGGTCCAAGCTGAAGAAGCGGAACAAATTTAGATCACTGAATATCAACTTCCAAAGCATTATGAATAAGCGTGCTGAATGGGAAGCAATGATCCACGAATTACAACCAGACTTCATACACGGTACTGAAACCTGGTTGGATCCATCTATCAACAGTGCCGAATTTCTACCAGAGGGATATACAGCCCTGCGAAAAGATAGGCTATCAGACAGACATGGTGGAGTATTCTTTGCCTACAGAAAGGACCTCCCTGTAAAGCGTAGAAAAGATCTAGAAACCAATTGTGAGATCATGTGGTGCCAGCTTGATATTCAAGGAAAGCGTCCAATACTATTCGGGACGGTATACAAACCAAAGCACGACGACACCGAAACTGTGGATAAGTTAGCTGCTTCACTGGAGTTGATAAACAACTGTGCCAAACTTAGAGACATTGTGCTACAAGGTGACTTCAATCAACCAAACATCGATTGGCTTACTAGTTCAACCATACTCAACCACTCTGCATCTAAAGAGTCAGCTGATAAACTGCTACAAACCACGCAAGCATACGGCTTGGAACAGAAGGTAATGCAGCCAACAAGATTGAACAATACACTCGACTTGGTGTTGGTCAACAATTCCTCCCTCATTGACGAGGTCTTGGTCATACCTGGTCTGAGTGATCACCATGCAGTTCTGACCGACCTAAACGTAGGGGTTAGGAAGAGCAAGACTCCTACTCGTAAGATCTACATCAGGCAGAAGGCAAACGTCGAGAAAATTAGACAGGAAATGAGTGACTTTAGTGATGCTTTCCTAGCAGCTTCAGAGAAATCTGTCCAAGAGAAATGGGACTTGTTTGAGAGTAAGATCAAACTAGTCGTGAACGAGCATGTTCCATCAAAGTCCTCCAGTAACAGAAGAAATCTCCCATGGTTCGAAAGGAAGCACAGACGGCTCTGTAGAAAAAAACAGAAGCTGTACAACAAAGCCAAAAAATCTAAGGATAATAAAGACTGGGAGATCTACAGGACCTTCAGTCACTCTCTCAGAAGAGAACTTAACAGTGCTAAACGGAACTACGTCTCAGATAACCTGTCCCACTGTATGGTAGAGAACCCGAAGGCCTTCTGGTCATTTGTCAAGAAAATGAGACAGGAAGAGTCTGGCGTTGCTGATCTCAAGGTTTCTAACAAAATCATCAGCGACGACTTGGAAAAAGCAGAGGCTCTCAGCAACCAATTTGCTAGTGTATTCAACATCGAAGATACATTAGACGTCCCAACCCTGGGAAGGAGCAGTGTTCCTGACATACCAACCTTGACCATAACGAACGAGGGTGTTCTGAAGCAGATCAAAAAGGTCAAGCCCAACAAAGCCCCTGGACCAGATGGTATTTCACCATTGATGCTACATTTGTGTGCAGAAGAAATCACTCCGGTGTTGACAGACATCTTTCAGCAATCTACGGACGAAGGAGTTCTCCCATCTCAGTGGAGAGATGCCAATGTCTGTGCCATCTACAAAAAAGGGCCCAAGGAAGAACCTGCCAACTACCGGGGAGTTTCTCTAACAAGTGTGATCAGCAAGATATTGGAACATGTCATCCACTCTCACATAATGAAACATCTAGAGGCCCATGGCATCTTGGCGGATAACCAACATGGTTTCAGGGCAAAACACTCTACAGTGACACAGTTGATCCTTACTACCCATGACTTGACTAAAAATGTGGAGAATGGAGAAACAACCCACATGGCAATCCTTGACTTTGCCAAGGCGTTTGACAAGGTGACCCACGAAAGATTGATTGGGAAATTAGACTATCATGGAATTAGAGGTCCACTACTTCAGTGGCTGAGACATTTCCTCACAGCAAGGACACAGAAGGTAGTCTGCAATGGCACTTCATCAAAACCTAAGAAAGTCTTGTCAGGCGTACCGCAAGGAACGGTACTCGGCCCACTGATGTTCTTGCTGTTCATCAATGACTTGCCAGACAATCTTCGCAGCACTGCCAGACTTTTCGCCGACGACTGTATCATCTATACAAACGGCAAGTCCAGAGAAGAATTGGATACCCTCCAAGAGGATCTCCACCAACTCGAAGCTTGGCAGAGCAAATGGGCCATGTCTTTCAACCCAGCCAAATGTACGGTCATGAAGATCTCCAACAATCGGGACCCACCGAATAGGAATTACACCTTCTGTGGTCAACCACTTCAAGAAGTGTCTTCTTATCCCTACCTCGGTGTGGAAATCGACAACAAGCTGAGATGGGACACTCACTACAAGAAGCTCACCTCCAAAGCCAACAAGGTGCTTGGCTTCCTAAGAAGAAACCTCTGGTTTTGTACCAAGGTCATCAAAGAGTCTGCATACAAAACGCTGGTCAGACCCATCCTGGAGTACGCCAGTAGTTCATGGGACCCGTACCGCAAAGGGGACATCCTTCTCATCGAATCGATCCAACGAAAGGCAGCTAGATTCTGCATGAATGACTACAAGCAACTGAGCAGTGTTTCCCAAATGATCAAGGAGTTAGAGTGGGATTCACTGGAGAATCGAAGGAGGATTGCCAGACTTCAACTCCTGTACAAGATCATAAACGGAGAAGTGGGAATCAAGGCCGACACATACATCCAAACCAACAACAGAGGGGGAAGAACAACTAGAGGGAACAGCAAAAGAATCCAGAGGGTGTTGATTAAGAAGGACGTGCACAAATACTCATTCTTCAACAGGACAGCAGCAGAATGGAACCTACTCAAGGAGGAAACAGTTATGTCTACCTCCAGTACAGTCTTCAAGCAGAAACTTCAAATGTGAAACACCTCTCCTTCCATAGCACAACCGCGACCATACAAATCAAAACGTTGGTGAAGTACAGTTAAACCTGAATCTACCGACGCAACCGAAACAGAAACAGAAACAGAAACCTACATACTCATAAATCGAACTTAGGCTGTACATGTATTCTGATACCATGTACCTTCATATTAAATTTCATTAAAATTTGTCAAACATTACTTAAGTTATCGAATGGAAACCAGATTTGCATATTTAATGAGCTATGACCTTTGACCTACATTCTCAGAAATCAAACTTAGCCTGTATTTTGATATCATGTACCTTCATATGAAATTTCATCAAAATCTGTCAAACATTACTAAAGTTATCGATTGGAAACCAGATGTGTATTTTTTCGCATATTTAATGAGCTACATGTATGACCTACATACTCCGAAATCGAACTTAGCCTGTATTTAGATATCATGTACCTTCATGTCAAATTTCATTAAAATCCGTCAAACATTAATGAAGTTATTTAAACATGTTTGTGGCTTACACCCAGTAAATAAGATTGATTGATCGATCTGTATTGAAAAACAAGTCAGAAAAAATCTTGGAACCAGCGGGACTTGAACCTGCCATCTACTGCTTGCCGGGCAGCGACTCTACCACCAGGCCATCAGTGGTTTTTCAATACAGATCGATCAATCGATCTTATTTACTGGGTGTAAGCCACAAATATGTTTAAATAATTGAAATTTCTCCCAGGAAGCATTACATTTAAAAAAAAAAATTAATGAAGTTATCAATCGGAAACCAAATTTGTTACGAACGGACGAACGGACGCACGCACGGAAGGAAGGATGGACAGGAGCGTAACTATATCCCCTCCGACTTCATCGGCAAGGGGATAATAAAAAGCTCATTTACAATGTATGTATGACACAAGTCGACTGCGGCAGTCCAAAGATTGTTTCATAAGTCAGCGGCAGACAGTAAAGAGTCAATAGAAACAGTCCTCACAGACCATGTGCTGAACACTGAAGTATGCAAGAAAGCAATAAGTAAAGAAAACAACCGTGAGAGGAAGATGACATACAAAGTTTCAGCTTTGTCAAACAATGACAAATCTTTTTCAAAGCCATCATTAAAACTTAAAGGTAAAGACCAGTTATGGTCATGCGATTGCATTGTGAACGAAACGTTGTGGAATCGATCAGAAAAGGTTGATCATCTAGCATTTAGCATCTGCAAGGTTCTGGAATCATCAAAATGATAAGAAATTTGGCCCATTCTTCGTAAAGTTACAAGCACTATACACAGAAAGATGTATATGGGACTGCCCTATATCTCTCACAGACCATGAGAGAAACAAATTTACCAAATATATGAATTAGTAGGCGGTTTCCCGGCAAATTTTTTTATCATCATGTATTAGTCAAAACATATTCTTTCACATGATTGGTAATGAGAGCTTCCATTTAATTTTTTGAAATTGGGGCGTTTCCAATACTGGTCTTTACCTTTAAGAAAAGTGTAAACACCAAAATGTTTAATGAATACATCAAGATGCAAGTACTTTAATACATCAAGAGCACATATGATTACCTGGATGATTTGAAGGAACTCTTCACTCCACTGGTCGACAGTCTGGCAGTTGTTGAGAATCAGCCAATGACCATGCATGACACATTCCTGCAAGGCATCCACAGCCTGACTCATCTGCTTCTCATTGCCCAGCGAGACGGTGTTGATAACAGTGCGGACGTTCTTCTGCTTGCAGTAGAGAGTGATCTCAGCAAGGGGATCTATTACTGTGTGACCTGATGGTGGTATTTCAGAATGAGACAAAAAGGAGAGAAAATTTTCATTTATTGAATTCTATTAAGTTTTTCATTGCCATGCAGGCATTAAGGGTCTAGCTGGCACATCTGCTTCTTACAGTACAAGTGTTATTCTGCTTGCAGTACAGAGTGACCTTGTGAAGGGGTTCTATTACTGAGTGACCTGAAGGTGGTATTTCAGAATAATGCTACGGTCACAAATGTTCGTACGAACGATTCGTTCGTACGAATCTCCCTGTTTTTACGAATTTCAGAATTCGTAGAGATTCGTAGACGGTACATAGTTTCTTATGGAGTTCGTACTAACGCCGTTTAATTCGCAAGAAGAACTTAAGGCCTTCTTGAGAAACGAAGTGATTTTCGGTTATACAATGGCCCTAGAGTTCGTACGTTTTTCGTAAGAACGCCTTGAGTTCTTCTTACGTCAGACTTACGGCCATCTTACGAGTTTTGATCTCGCAAGGTGGTCGTACGTGTAACTCACGGCATTCACAAGTCATTTGTAAAAAGATCTTACGATTTTTTTTAAATATTTGGTGGGGTTGCAAAAAAAGCGCTGCTGTATACGGTCTAAAAATTTGAGTGTTGAAAGTTTGATATATCACGATGGCAGTATTGCCAAGAAGACTACAACTGCAACTGCAACTCTATCAAGTGATTCTTGAACTTACTGTTTTTTGTTCTCCATATTTTTCCCTCCACAGGGATTTTATTGATTTTCATTTGAAACAAATTAACAAATATATATTCAAGGTAATTTACATTTATAACATTAATACAATTGGTTTAGTACAATCACATAGCAGATGTATAACTGTTTCAATCTGTTCATTACAAAACGTACATTCTTTTCTTGGGACTAAATTCATTTTAAACAGTAGATCGTTCGTATATAATATGCGTTGCAAAACTTCAAACTGAAACCATCGTAAGCCCACATCAATGATAAAATTAAATCCAATAGAACAATATGTTTCCCAACTCTTATCATTCAGGTCGAAATACACATTTACATAGTCCTTTTCTTCTCTTTAAAAAAGTTGCATAGATATGTAAACATCCTTTAATACATTTCATAACAAATGTCATTGTATCTGGGAAAAGAGGTTGTGGCTCCATGTTAAAAAATAGTACAATTCGTCGCTGTTTTCACGAAGTGACGGTAGTGAAAAAAAATTGCATTCATTTTGCGTTACGATTTTCCTCACTACCGTCACTTCGTGAAAACAAGGACGAATTGTCAAACCCTTGTCTAATTGCATCGCATAATCCACGATAACAAAGAAAATTTATTTGAATATTATACTTTTCTTGGAAATGTTTCAGAGAGAAAAAAAAAACACCATTTGTCTCTAAAATATCATTGACAAAGCGAACTCCCTTTTGACACAATTTTATATTATATATTGAGCTATTACCTATTTTAATGTTATCATTATTCCATAAGGGTTGGCAAGCAATGTTATCACAAGAGCGTACTGTAAGCCATGAACATTTCTTTCCAAAAAAGGTTCTTTGTTTTACCTGCCAGTTCCCGAAAATAATTGTTTACTGTTAGCATATCTGTTACTTCCTTTATTATAAAAGAAGCCATGTTCACCGAGGAAGTCAACAAGTTTTTGCTCTGTGGTGGCATCAAAGTCATACTTCTCCTTTCTTAGTTTCCCCGTTGCCTCATCTTCATCGCTATCAAACTGCCGTCTTGATGGTTCTCCCTCCTCGTCGTCATCGTCTTCATCTTCCATCGCCTCCTCCCGGTCGCTTTCGATGGCTTGATATTATTGCTTGATATTATTGTTGCTGTTCTCCTCCTCTTTCTCCTTCCTCCTCATCTCTTTCCTTACGTTTGTTTCCCTTCCCTCTCTTTCCTCCATCGGAGTTCCCCTTTGGTCCCATATTTCTTCGACAGGGGGGCACCCTCGACGACACTATGAACAGGCGCACCGGAAGCAGTTTAGGATTGGGGGTGGGGGGGGGCAAACATTTCAGGGGCTCACCTTCCAGGGGCAATGGCGTAATGAGCAAAAACGTTTGGAAGGGGGGAGCAGAAGAAAAATCTGCATCTGACCACCACTCTTACACGTAAATTCGCGTGGGGTCGAGGGGCTGAGCCCCCGGACGCTCAGAGATTTTTAGATATTTAACTACGGTCAGATGAGCATCCAGGGGACCGCCTCAGGGCCCTTAGTGGGGTCCGAGGGCGGAGCCCCTGTAAGCTCTTGGGTTTTAATTAGGCATTTAATTACGGTCAGATCAGCATATTTTGATACCTTATTTGTGACATTGGCAGGTCACTTATTTTTTCTCTCTTTCTTTCTTTTTCTCTGTAACATACTTTTTCAAAAAGTGAGGGGGCTCGAGCCCCCGAGCCCAGCTGTTCTGCAGGCCCTGATATGAAGGCTTTAAATAAGCATATTTTTCGGCCGACTGTAAATTTGGGAATTTCTAGTTTTCCAACAAAGGCATCAAAAGGTATGACTTACAAAAAAATTGAGAAAAAATACCGGAAATCATATCTTTTCAGTAACATTTGTAAATCACTGCATGGTATCGAATAAGAAATAACAATAAAATCAGCACGCCAGCGTTCAGGGGCTCATGTCTTCTCACCCCAATACCAAAAAACACAAATGCTTTCCCATCCTCTCACAATAATTCGACGATATGCTCGTATCGCTATTATAAAAACCTCCATTGATAAATAAAGGTTGCATGCGGAATGTTTAAGAAATCTAATTCCTGTTAACTTTTCCTTTTCTTTGAATGGAATGTTATGCGTGATATAATTCAGGTTTTACCAGGTTTGCCCCCCCCCCCACCACTTTTTTTGGTTGGCCGGGGGGCGGGGCTCTATGATTATGAACATAGTGAGGATTTGAACTTCACGCGCTTGGCTTTATAACCGCTAAAAATCAAAATTAGCATAAATTGTGTACGTACACCTTACGAGCACCTTACGAACGCCTTACGAACGCCAGGAGTCGTTCGTACGAAGACCATAAGAATCTCCGCTCGTAAGGAGTTCTTACGAACGCCATAAGAGCCCTCTATGAACAACATGAGGCGTTCTTACGTTCATCGTAATAATTTGAAGCTTCTAGAATTGTCCCTCGACCCTACGAAATGTACGAAGATCTTGCGTGGTTCTTACGATGTAATTACGGCGTCATTACGGCCGCCTTACGAAGAGAGGGTTTCGTACGATGCTAAAAAAAATCTTGGACCAGACCATCGACCAATTTGTGATCTTACGAACGGTCTACGAACGGTCTACGAACGCTGGTTTCGTACGGCCTTCTTAAGAAGATCTTACGAAATGGTCTGAAAATCGTTCGTACGGCGTTCGTAACAGCCCGTAAGGGTATTTGTGACCAAGGCTTAAGATAAACATAAGAGGAACTTCTGGTTGATTGATTGTTTTACATAGTGTGATTGATAGAGCAGGGTGTACTCTTAAAATCAAGCTTCAGGGGATGACAACTTAAGGTCCTTTCCAAGGGACTGAGAACCCCAAAAACAAATCAGTAGATACATAATTATATAAAAAAAACTATTATACAAAGTGTTCACATTATGCATTACAGAGCATACATCTATGACTGTCATACCGTTCTCGGACAGATGCCCCGGTGGCAATTTGTTCCGCTGTCCAGAGCCAACACTAACCAAATTTCTAACATTAACATTCGACCAAACACTTAACCCTACTCATATCCCTAATCGTAACGTAATACTCAATTGCAGCCCCAACCTAACCGCATATCTTTGTCAAAATATAGCGAGAAGCAACTACTGCCAGAGAAATGGTTGAGTCACCAGTAATACATATATCTCCAGCTATTAGTAACTAAAATTTACTGGTACCATAGAAAAGTGAACTCTTTGTTACCTTCCATTCCAGTCTGTTCCCCATCATGGTAGCTTGCAGGAAGGACAAAGATCAGAGGGATGTTCCTGGAGGTCCTCTGCAGGACTTCTTCAGCGTTGTACACCTCTGGACGAGCCGTGTGGGCCCCCAGCTCGTAGACCACCAGGTGCCTGCATATCGCAGCCAGCCGGTCGGGCAGGACCACCCGCCACAGCAGAGCCTTCTGGCAGAAGCTGAGATTCTGAAGGTCTGGGCCAGGCACGGGAGCCAGGAGAACGGGTTTGCAGGAGAAGTATTCCTTCCACTGGCTGGAGTGACGAAGCATGGATTGCCTCAGACCCTGGAAGGCTGGTACCAACTGCTCTAGGTGACCACATTTAATCCAAATCTGATCAGGGAAACACACAAAAAGTGGTTTAAATTGAGGTACAGTGATACAACCATGGCCACTGATTGAGTGAGATATTTTTTTAAAGGGACTGTATCATGGAAAGCTAAAAGATATATATTTTCTTTTCATTTAATTTGCGTTTAAAAAGCAAGTGTACAGCTTGATATCCATAGTACAGATGTAAAGCATTATTTTTACGAGTGATACTTCAGATAATGATAGTAACATGTAGTTGATAACCATCTCTTTTCGTAACACAGTATTCAAGTAGGCATAAAATGTGAAAGTAATTATGACATGACTGAAAGCTGAAGTCCCTGAATACTAAATGCAAGGGTTATTGCAAATATGTTCCTTTAATAAAATATGATAAATAGAGTATGGGCATTTACCTCATTAGTAAGCCACTCTGGAATCACAGTGCTATCATTAGCATCATCAAACACAGTTTCCCGTTTTCTAGGAACTGATCCATCCAGCCCATTGACAAGTAGACCCCACTCGGCTTGCGATATCTCCCCTGACGACCGCATCCTCTCCATAGCAACCAGAAACACAAAGAGATCAGAGTGATGCTGGAAGAGTCCGCATGAGAGATGAGCATGAATCTCCTCTGTGAGAGCATTGCAGAGCTCCACCGCCCGCGCCTTGAGCGAGGCGGTATCGGTGCGGTCCTTCTCGCGGGCACGGAGCGTCTTGGCGTACCAGCGGATGAACCGGCGGAGAGGGATGTAGTACGTCGGGAGGAGCTGCCAGATGCGTTTGATGGTGGAGTATAGGAGGGTACCGTGCTCTGCGACAGATTGATAAGGATGTTGCTTTACCAGGAGCTGTTCCAGGAGGTTGCAGCTCTCCTTGAGGTTGGAGCTGGTGTCCTGGATCGTCTGGTGATGGGTGGTGAGGGTGTCGCCCCATACAGCATCCTCGAGGATACCATGGTTCAACTCTATCACTTTGTTCAGAATATCCAGCTGTGAATACACAGTAATGATAGGTGGAAGTTGTGAAGAATGAGGTAACATAAATGTGATGAATAAAGCTACTTAAAGTTTCTTACTATAGTCAAATCAGTTTATATTATCAAACTTGTATCAAATTATGAAATTTAAGCAGTTAGCTTGATACAAATAGTACTCGATGGGGTCTACCTACAATATGTCTGCATCCACTTTAGACAGCAAATAAGCTCTTATTAATTCCAATTCTATTTGCACATATGTTAAATACCATGCCCCCTAACCCCCCCCCCCCCCCCCCCTTGAAAATGAAAACAAATCGAAATTGTGTAATTGCATTAAAAATTTATCAAAAAAACAATATCATATAGACATCACGAAAGTCATATCAAATCAAATCAAATTTTCATGAAGGGAGCAAAGAGGGAAGGTTAAGGAGGCAAAATAGAAGGTACAGGGGTCAAAGGGGAAGGGTGACGAGAGCTTCTTACATGTGTTTCTAGGAGCATCTTATTATGTCCTCTTATATCAGCCTTGACAGAGTGTTGATGGTTAGCGAAGTCAGGTCTCTCCGCATCCATGACGTCGATGAGGAGAAGGGTCTTCAGTCCTTCCTGGTTGACAGACATGTCAATCATAGAGAACTGGTCTGTGTGGGGCTTCAGGAAGCCTGCACCTGTGATGGGATTGATATGGAGCATGGGATTCAAATCTCAACGTGATCTATCCAATGCTAATATAGCACCAGTCCAGTCTTCAGGTTTATTGAAGGAAAGTTGGATTACATGTTTCTATTCATATATATGATAATTTGGTGACAAATATAGACGTTTATACATTGTATATCAAGGGTGAAATAAAATTCATTACAGCACTTAGAAAATGTGATTTGGGTACTTATAGGGCAATAATAGCAATGATAATAAATATGGTATAAACGGCTGCTAAACACAGAAAGCACCATGATAATATTTCCAAAACAAAATATTTAGAAAGAAAATTCCAAAATTCATTTGAGAATTGATATGTGGTACAAATAATGTAACTTCTTGTGGACCATTTGTAGGCAAGTAAGTCAATTTATACTAAATTACAGTTTTGCAGTCAAGATATAATTCAGTTCATCTTCATATTTCACATTTCATATGATACGTTTTCAGTATTGTTTACAAGAAGTATAATGATTATAATAATACGAATATTACATCATTTGGTTTGCTAGTAGTAACTTGCTAATTAGGGACTAAATACAATTCTCGCTACCCCAAATAGCGATTCTGCCGAGATCCGGGGAAAATCCTGAAAACGCGCATTGCATTATGGGATAGCTTTTCGACATTACAGCTTCCTGTGCAGGCGTTCGTGATCACAACCCTCTCTTTCACGGTAGAGTTTAACGGCCTTTTGTGCTAAAGTCACTAATTCTGCCCGAAGCTTTCCATTGCATATTATAATCTGTACAAATTACACTGATTGGCATCGATTTTAGCGTGCGTGAAAACTCTGCACAGCGAACACAGGCGCTAGCGCCAGCGGGATGGGACTCTATACCGGAAGTTGTAGTGACGACCCGAGAGAGTGAAAATTACCTCGTCTCGCGAATTTCGAGATTTTCGTACCTATTTAGGGTAGCGAGAATTGGAAATGAGGGAGTCCAAGGGAAAAGCAACGCTTGTTCGTTGGAGGCTACAGAGGGTCATTTTAGGGTAACCAAGTTGTGAGAATGAACAGGGAAAGATTTTTGTAAATGTTTTGAAATAATGCTTTTAAAAAAGGCCATTATGCTCACCATCCAACTGTAGAGGTACAGATGTTGTCAAATAGAGGGCAAATCTTGTGTTGTAGCTGTACATGTGGCTTCCGATCCTCACCGACTTCTCCCCTTCCTCATTCTCCACCACATTCCTACTCAACACGTCATTAAACTTCACATCCAAGTCCTTCCTCTCCAGGTTGGTGACGACAAGACTCAGTCCCATCACGACGGACTGGATAAACCTCTCTTCCAGCAGGAAGTCGTCGGCCGACACGACCCAGAGGTTAGAGAAGGGTCGCTCACCGTCGAGGTCGACAGAGAAGGGATGGATAGTCACGGAGTGGTTACTGGTGCCCATGCTGTGGATGTCAAAGTCTTTCTCGCTCATGTTGTCCTTAGGAGTGACTCCACCATTCCTTTATAAACATGGGACAATCGTAACATAATAATGGTAAAATATGGTCAACTGTATAGTACCTTTCACTATGAGCATGACGGACAAAGAAAGAGGACAAAATATACAGTTCCTCATTCTACCCTCAACAATTGCTGTGGTAGACAAAGGAACATCCCTTCACTGCTACTATGTAAAAATATGTAGAACAGGTGAGTATGCATGTAACACCTGTTCTACACATTTTTGTACATAATAGCAGTGAAGGGATGTTACTTTGTCTACCACAGCAATTGTTGAGGGTAGAATGAGGAACTGTATATTTTGTCCTCTTTCTTTGTTCGTCATGTTCATAGTGTTTCCACTGGTTTAATACCAAGCACTATTAGACGATGCAACAAACTACAAATGAATATGTTATCACTACTCAAGCTATGCAGATTTTGTTAACACTTCTGCATATTATCTACAGGTTACAGTGAGTTTACTTGAAAAATATGCAATTTAAGAAATTAAAGAAAAATGCACTTATTACATACTCTACATTTTTATCATTAGTCATGTAACGATTGTTGTGGGACATGCACCGTATGGCTTTTATCCTTACCCTAGGCTTCGTCCTATGAAGAGTTGGGATTCATCCGCATCACATGTGCCTTCACTGGAGATTGATATTAATTGCAACTCTGTTCTTAAGCGATAAGCCCCGATAAGTTTGCAGTTGATTGATTGTACGTCTTGTGTGATCAATTCAGATGAATTGAGACTGAACCCTGATACTTGAGGGCTTAGAGTTGTTTTACATGGCTTTAAAGCCACACTGTATGTTACTTGCTCCCTCTATATAGAAATGCCTAATCAGTGACCATTGGTCCCCCATGATCCTCTTTTTCTTATGTTGACCACCTGTCAGTGACCACCCTGGGTGGTCTAATCTCTCCTAGCCAAACTAGTACAAATGGCCTTTAAAAGGACAATGACTTACGTGGTGAGTGTCCTAGGTGTTTCAGGAAACTCTGTGCCATAGTCTGTCTCTCCCCCAAGAGAGCTCTGATCTGCCCTACTCAGACCAAAATTTGAGGTCGCTACACTCTCCAGGTTCCTGCTCTCCATCAGATGCTCCTCCGTCAGCTGGGGGTTGTTCAGTTCTTCCTCCAGACCACCATCCTGGACGAAAGATTCCTCTGTGTCACATGAGAGGTCAAAGGTCAAAAGTTAGGTAATCAAGCAAGAGATATTTCATTTTTCATTTATTTCATGTATTTTCATGTTACATATACATATCAAAATAAAGTACAAGTTTGTTTGTTTTTTTTGTGATAAAATAACAATCAATAATACATAATAAATAACATAAAAATAATTAGTCAATATAGGGAGCTGATTTAACTGAGAGAAATATCATGGGACCTACATGAAAGCAAGCTTGTAAAGCTGTATGCCCCGGATATACATATAAGATTTACAGAACTTCATGAGTGAACAGAAAATATGCTTTGATAACAAAATAACAAGAATATCTAATCATCAATGCTTTGTAATGCTTTGAATGCATATGTGGATAAACTCTATTTGATATAAGACAGAAATTCATAATCAATCCTTTATGGTGAGTGCCATTAAGTTTACAAATGACTATCACATTGATATAAAAATGAGGCAACTTTTTCCTTTCAAATTGTCAATTATATTTTATTTCTTTTTTCGTGGTTCATCTTCACTTTTTTTTAAAAATTCATGATAGCTACTTTAAAACTTTTAATGCATAAACCCATGTTCGATTTTAATAACATAGAAAAGCATTTCCTTGCCCCTACAGAGTATATAAACAATCAAAATTGGAGTGGATTGAACTATCTACTGCAGTGAAGCAGAGCAAGCAAGAACCCCTTGTGGGTCAACATATTTCAGGGGTGCATCAGGGAGGGGGGGGGGGGCACAATTTCGAAAAAGGTGGGTAATGGGGTGGGGGTAGAGGTGGGTGGGGGATAAGGTGGGTGGGGATAGAGGTGGGTGGGGGATAAAGGTGGGTGGGGGATAAGGTGGGTGGGGGTAAAGGTGGGTGGGGGTAAAGGTGGGTGGGGGATAAAGGTGGGTGGGGGATAAGGTGGGTGGGGGTAAAGGTGGGTGGGGGATAAAGGTGGGTGGGGGATAAGGTGGGTGGGGGTAAAGGTGGGTGGGGGATAAAGGTGGGTGGGGGATAAGGTGGGTGGGGGATAAGGTGGTGGGGGTAAAGGTGGGTGGGGGATAAGGTGGGTGGATATAAAGGTGGTGGGGGTAAAGGTGGGTGGAGATAAAGGTGGTGGGGGTAAATGTGGGTGGGGATAAAGGTGGGTGGAGATAAAGTTTGGGGATAATGGTGGAGATAAAGGTGGTGGGGTAAAGGTGGGTGGAGATAAAGGTGGGTGGGGGTATACGTGGGTGATGGTAAAGGTGGGTGGAGATAAAGGTGGGTGGAGATAAAGATGGGTGGGGGTAAAAGTGGATGGGGGTAAAGGTGGGTGGGGGATAAGGTGGGTGGAGATAAAGGTGGTGGGGGTAAAGGTGGGTGGGGATAAAGGTGGGTGGAGATAAAGGTTGGGGATAATGGTGGAGATGAAGGTGGTGGGGTAAAGGTGGGTGGGGGTAAAGGTGGGTGGGGATAAAGGTGGGTGGGGGTAAAGGTGGGTGTGGGATAAAGGTGGGGTGGGGGTTAAAGGTGGGTTGAGGGTAAAGATTGGTTGTGGCCTCCAACCCTTATTCCACCACTGTGTATCTTACCCTCTTCTTCCTCTTCATATACAATTTCATGGAAACTAGCCAATCCTTTCTCCTGCAGCTGCACTATCCAGCTAAGTGGGGTGGGGGTAAAAGTGGATGGGGGTAAAGGTGGGTGGGGGATAAGGTGGGTGGAGATAAAGGTGGTGGGGGTAAAGGTGGGTGGGGATAAAGGTGGGTGGAGATAAAGGTTGGGGATAATGGTGGAGATGAAGGTGGTGGGGTAAAGGTGGGTGGGGGTAAAGGTGGGTGGGGATAAAGGTGGGTGGGGGTAAAGGTGGGTGTGGGATAAAGGTGGGGTGGGGGTTAAAGGTGGGTTGAGGGTAAAGATTGGTTGTGGCCTCCAACCCTTATTCCACCACTGTGTATCTTACCCTCTTCTTCCTCTTCATATACAATTTCATGGAAACTAGCCAATCCTTTCTCCTGCAGCTGCACTATCCAGCTAAGAGCTTGGTTATCTGGGTCGATCAGGAGTGGCCACTGACGCCGTCTTCCGATTATACACGCACGGGTATATAGCGCATTGTCCACTGAGAACTGATCGCACACCACGCTGCTGCTGTGCCTCCAGTTGTCTAGCTCTTCCTTATCACTAAGGATATCTACATTGATGGAAAACAGGGACAAAAAGAAAAATGTCATAAAATTGAAAATATAACAACAAACAACATTTAATCTTGAATACAACCATGTAAAACATTTTTTGCAATGACCTATGCACAAAATTGATATACTCTTTACATAATAGTCAATGTCTCATATTCCATTTAGTACACCTAAATAATTTTAGAAGTCAATCCATAGGTTAATGGTAAAGGAATTTGAAGGGGGAAAATATGTAATAAAAACAAACATCCGGAGGGCGTTTCACAAAACTTGTCATCAGTGACAAATGACAGTTTTTTGTTATAAGCTACTAAAATCCTTGCTTCTGATTGGCTATCAGCAAATTTGTCACTGGTTTTTGTCATTTGTCATTGAAAAAAGGCTTTGTGAAACACCCCCCTGGATACCAAACTACATGTATGTGCCAAACATTAGGCAAGAGCATTTTCTTTTCTGTGTGGGTAATACCTGCATTGAACCCTGCCTAACTCATTAAAAAAACTTACCATGAATGTTCATCTTTTATAAACAATAATAATTAATAATAACAGGCATTTTTAGATTGTACCATCTTTCTAGACAGTTCTATTCCAAAAGCGCACCAATTAGTTATTACCCCGCCTTTAGTCTGACTGCCATTCAGCGCTCTAGCAGTTCAAGGAATTAATTCCTGCCAGGTACCCATTTACCTCACCTGGGTAGAGTGTGGCAAATGTAGATTAATGCCTTGCCAAGGGACATTAGTGCCGTGTCGGGGATCGATCCACGACCTTTGAATTTCAAGTCAAGTGCTTAAACCACTCGACTACGACACTTATTAGAAGTATGCAATCTGAAACAAACATGTACCAGTCCAACAGTACATAGCTTGTAACTGTTTGCAGTTACAAAACATCCCTACCAACCGGACTTGCTCTTAACCTCAATCTAAACATTTTCCTTCATTCATATTTTTCCTCTGCTTACGTACCTTCTACACTGAAATTCTGTCTGATGGGTACAGCAGGGTTAATCTCAGATTCTGGCTGTTCTCTCCTGGGCGTCGAACCGTGGCTGCCATCATCGTTGTCCTCGTCAATGATGGACAGCTGCGGAGGAAGATCAACTTCTGCTGAAGGGCTGTCGTTGTCAGGTAGGACACCATTGACCTCTCGCGCCTAAGGTTAGGAAAGAGAGGGGTCTTGTTGATTAAAATATGTTCCTTGCAGTTTTCAAAACTTGCTCTCATTTCTATTATCTTGTCATCGTCCCTTTGCATTGTTTAACCACTCCATATCATTAAAAACATGGCTACATGCATCATCCTGAAAAGTTTAATCAATACATTTTTAATTGATTCCATTTTAACTATGCTACAATACTTTGCTTCACAAAGAAAATGGATAAAGGGAATAAAATGGATCACAGATATATGTCTTTTTCAAGAATACCTTAGCATATTTTTGGTAAGGCTCGTCATCATGCTAGAAACTAATGTCTACCAAATAAACGATGTAAGATATATCATTCAATTCAATTAGGAACATTGCTCATACCGCATTCAGAGCAGGACTTGCTGCAAAGGAATTCTCCCTCCCAATCGGCGCGCTAGCCCTCCCCGCTCCGACTTGGTATCTCCCATTACTGCAGGCATGCAGCCAATCGGCAAGCACCAGATCTCTGGTGGTCTCATCCATTGGGCCCATGTAGGTGGTGCAGGCCGCTGCCAGGAGGGAGTCACCAGGAGCAGTCTGGAGGTGGCTGTTAGACAGGTCCAGACTGTCCTTCCAGCTCTTGTGCTGCTCTTCCATGTTGCCCATCATGTCTGTGGCTACTTTGATCTTGGTCTCAATGGTCTGCATGGATAAGGTAAAAGAAAAATGACAAATAAGATCTGTCTTCATTGGCTCGAGTTTGCCAAATACTGAACCAGCTATTTTCTGACTTGGGATATTATCCCGAAGCTCGAAATAGTGTCTTCACCAGACCAATACGCTCATCACAAACTAGCTCAGACGGGTTAAAATTAGCCTGCTGTTTCCCAAATAGTGGGATATTTGGAAATAAGAACAAGATTTATATGGATATTTTCTCGATCAAATATCTTGCTAATTGCAACTGCGGACTGTTGAAGACCCAAATTAACTGGCTAATTTGCGATCGGGATAGTTAAAATAGCAGGTTATTTGGCAAACTCTAGCTGATGAAGTCAGGCCTATAGATCTCTCCTCATATCATAAGGTAATGCAAATAAAGCCAACCACTTATGGTCTTTGTCCTCACTCCAAACTGCTGTTTCTTAAGGGACATTCAATTTTCCATACTTAAACTGACTTTTCTTAAAAGCTTCTTTTGTAATTCACTCACAAATAATATAAACATCCTTTGTATCAATGGGATAAAATACAAATAAAGTGACAAAGTACAATATAAAAGATTCAAGAAAATATAGTTTACATGTTCAATACATTGACTACTTGATACTTTCAGTCCCTACAACTTAATACAGGAGTCACTTGGTTCATGGAGGCAATGGATAGAAAATAGAAAAATTTAAATTTACTGTTGAGCACATTATCTGAGTTTTGCAAAAACATTTGTCATTTTTCATCTGTCAGTATAAATGCAGGTGACCCAAATTAGTAGTTTGAAATCTGTTTGGTATAAAAAGGATGTTATCTCAATATCCAAAGATGATTCCCTATATATGCCCCTTTCTGGCAATTCTAGATCTGTTTGGGATGATATATATCATACAATAAATTTGTTGGTACATCGATTGTGGTTACACCACTTTAGTGATATGTCAGCAATAAAGAAACAGAGACATATAATATCAAAGGCATAACAAAGAAAAGGAGAACATAAGAAGACAAAATAAATCTACTGTTGAGCGCATTAAAAAAAACAAATTACATTCAATGATAAAAAATGAAATTTAGCTGTGAAACACAGCTAGAAACTGACCTGCATTTTCTTCTCATAGAGTTTGACCTGTCTGATACTCTCTTGATATTCCTTGCGCTTCTGCTCCAGAATTCCTTTCATGTCCTGCGCCTTCACTCGCTTGCTGCCAAGATGACCTTGTGCCTATATATACAAAGGGTTGGCATACACACCAAAAAAGCCAGGTAAATAAAGCTAGTAATGGAATGACATTTCATGTTAAAGGGAGATAGTCATCAGTTCTTGAGCAGTAAGTCATAATTCGCTGATATCAGACTTGGTGGAAATGCCATTAATGTACAAGTCTGCACACAGCAAACCTGTAGTCTTTAAAAAAAAAGAAAATACCCCCTAGTCTCTCGGAGAGTCTTCAGATGGTCTTCGGAGCGTCTTGGGGTGAAGATAAAGACTTTGCCATATGGGGGAATGGGTGGAAAATGCATAGCATTACAGAAGGCCCCTATTGGCAAGGCTAATCCTGGTGATAACATCTGTTATTGGATATACACCCAATTGGTGTCGATTTCTCTGTAAGAGCCCACTATGCGTCTTTAAACAAGCTTGAAATGTTTCTGAATGACATTCAGGAACATTATTGAGAATAAACATCTAAATCCCTTAAGATCTTTATAAGTAAGAAGGCAAGGAGAGAAGTTTTACAATTGGATGAAAGATGTTAATTCTGAGGGAGGAAGAAGCAGGGAGGGAGCTGAAAGGATCACCAGCACAAGGATAACAAATAGACCTGATCATATCTATCAATCGGTACGAATGACCCCAAAGAAATGGTCTGCAGAGTCCCCTTGGTGCATTTCTTTTAGAACTCCTAAAGAGATGGAGATGCTTCATGACAAATTTACTACCAACTGTTTACCGTCAAATGCAGAGTAATAAAGGTAATGTATAATGGTTACATACATGTACCTATTATGACAACCTTTCCACTTTTTTCCTCAGCTGATGTTATACTTCAATTCAAGTAAGTCTCATCTACTCATGAGCTGATCGCATATGTGAACTATATAATTATCTTACCTCTTGAACCTTAGCCTCTGCTTCCTCCACGCCTTGCAGCTTAGGTCTCATGTTGCGATGGATGACGGCATAGGCATAGACAGCGTGCACCCACATGCACAATGAGCTGGCCGCGACACTGGCCGTCTTGATGACCTCGGGGTCAAAGGTCGGGTCCTGGATGAAGAGCACGTTGAGCTTGTGGAAGATGTCGGTGGGGATGGCGGTCTTGTCATAGAATTCCAGCTCCTGGAAGAAATTCTTGCGGTTGATGAGGACTTTGCCGTTGGACCAGCTGGAAAAAAAATGAGAATATGAGAGTGTTAGGGGTTGATAATAGATAAAGACCTTACACCTTTAAAGGCTGTCTGTACTAGTTTAGCCAGAAGATTAGATCACCCAGCAAGCTAACTGACAAGTGGCTATCTCATCAACTCAGCTCTCAATTAACATAAGAAAAAGAGGATCATGAGGGACCACCAGGCACCGATTGGGGAAGTTTTCAATATAGAGGGAGCAAGTAGCTACAAGTAGTACAGTGGGGCTTTAACTGTCTCAATCAAATCTTACACTACATAAAAAGGTATATTATAACCTTCAGCAGTAGCAACAAATTGTGTAATGTTTTAAAGACGACTGGGACAATGAAGAGATGGTGAAAATATTCATCAGTCTCTATGAAATAAAGATAATGGTAAAATAAAACAGCTAGGTAGTCATGCTGTGAATAAGGAAGGAAAAATATACATGCTTTAAGTACATTTAACATGATATAGAGAAATAAAACAAAACAAAACAATTAGTAAATGCAAAAAACAGAGACTACAAAAAGTGGGAAACACACACCACCACAATGAAATGGAGAGTGAAAGGATTTACAGTTAGAACTATAGACACAAAAAACGGGGAAAGGAAAGAGACTCGAACTCACAAACTTGTGAGAGAGAGAGGAAGATGAAAAGTGATAGAGGGAAGAGGGAGATAGAGAGAGAGAGAGAGAGAGACATGAAGAAAAGAAAGGAAGATAGGTAAGGAAGGAGAGAGGATACTTACTCCATTTGTTGTCTGAACATGAGGCATACAGCATTGATGACATTGATGACCTTGATTGGTGGAGCATGGAATGTACGTAGCTCATTCAGGGCAGACTTGTCCAAGCTCCTTAGGGCATGGAGAGCTGCTTCATACACAGGGTTCACCTGATCACATAAGGAAAATTTGAATAAAATGAGTTTGTCAAGTGGTTGATACATAATCATCACAAGTGTTTTCTTCTTCATTCTTGTCAAAACTCTAATCAGTCATTCTCATCCTCATTATCACTATCAACTTCATCATCTTGCCATCAAATACCATTATCATCATCACCTCAATCATCATTATCAGTGTAATTTTCCCGGTAAAAATCATCATCTCCATCATCTTCATCATCATAAGTTATCATCAAAATCTCCTTCCTTAATATCACCACTATTATTTTCAGCATTACAGTACAATCATCATCACTATCATCATCGTTATCATCACCATGATAATCATCACGATCCTCATAAACATCATTACTTTCTCCACCATCATCATGTTGATCATCAAAATCACCTTCCTTAATATCGCGATAACCGTCATTATCATCACAATTACTATCACCATGATAACCCTGGTAACCATCACCATCCTCATCATCTTCACTATCATCACCATATTCATAATGGTCATCATCATCATCATTACTACTGTTGTCACTATCACCACAATCCTCTTCCTCCTCCTCCTCCTCATCATCACCAACATCACTACTTCAGCTCCATACTATCATCCTCATCACTGATTCTTGGTACCTATAATCGTCAGATTTCATCTTAATATTCCGTTCTTATATAGCGCATAACACATTATGATATAACATCCCTTCACGCTTCCAAAGAGCTTTGGAAATTATTACCAAAGCCTTAGCTACGGCAGCCGTTATCAGCACACAGTGCATATTTCAAGGAATAATCCTACCAGGTACCTATTTAACACACCTGGGTGGAGTGTGGCAAATGTAGATTAAGGATGTTAGTGTTAGTGTTATCTTACCTTATCTAGCTCTGCCTGTGCTTCTTTCTTCATGTCATTGAGAGGTTCCTGCAGTGCAGTGATCTCCTTTTCATCCTCAGTACAATTACCCCTAGCCTGTTAAATAAACAAACATACATGTATATCCTTCTTCAAATCACATCAAAATGGTAACAGCCACAAATGATAAAAACTTGTTAAATAGTAAAGCAGGACACTTTTCTCTCACCCTGATTTCTTGAACTAAATAGGATAATCGTGATGAACTTTAAATTCTGTTCATTCTGGATGTTCTAAGGCACGTACACATGACATGTTTTAAAGTTGAAAATTATATACAGTCACTGTTTTCGTGTGTAAAGATATACTACTGTATATATGGTGCCCATGTGTATGGAACAGGAGAACCATATAGGGTACGATATACATGTACATATGCATGTAGCTTCAAATTGGTATTGCAACTTCACATATTATGATAAGTTTGAAAATGTTATTTTCACAAACACATGGATATTTAAATGCTCTTTGAAAAATTCAAATCATTCCAACGGATTAGTATTCAAAACATTACAGACTTCTTCAAAGCAATACCTGTCAATATACCATCAGTTTTATGATGAATTATTTATATCAGGGCCATCTTATAAAGAGGTGCGATTGATCTAAATCGATCGCAAGTCCTCTAATCAATCTCAAGTTTGTAGTCTCCTATCTCTTATGTACATACATGTAGTTGCGATTTATATCAATCGAAAATAAGTTGCAATTGATATCAACTCTTTGTAAGATGGGGCCCAGGAGTATGTGGTGCTTTTGTATGTACATATTACATAAAAGTTGCCCAAGAAAGTTCACTCACATCTGCAAATATCTGCTCACACTCATGAACCTCTTCCAGGATCTGTTCCGTACGTTGTTTAGCTTTCTGGTGTTGTGGGTTGAGGGCAGCAATCTCGGCATGATAATCAGATATGCTGGAAAAAGCCTCATTCACCTTGTCCAGTGCCTCTTCAAACTTATCGACATTCGCCTGTGTTAGTGTGTTAAATGAACGAACATTACATGAAAACTTGAGAAGGAGGGATGAGGACACATTTTCCTGCTTATTTTCTAGAAAGATTTTGATTTCTGAATATCTAGAAGTCAATATTGGAAGATTATTACAATCATCATTGTTATATTTCATCACTCTGATGTGTAGAGGAAAAACTCTGTTTAAGCTGGTTAAAACCACTAAGGAGATAACTACCTGACTTGTATCCAAAAGGATATAGCTAAGGGAGAAATATTAGACTTAGGACAGCTGCCCAAGATACATCACAGAGTTTCAATTCAATTCATTCTTTTTCCATTAAAATTAAAATTTGTGTTTGATTGATTGCACCTTCAAAAATCAATTACTTTTTTTAAATTTGTTATTGGTCTTTGCTCAAACTTTCTCTCTTTTGTTCTGCTTGTATTAAAATCAACTTAATATCAGGGTGGACTTCCCCCCTAAAGGCACCGTTTAACAATGTTAAATCTAAAATGCATGGCTCTCATGTTATAAGTGTCTGTGATATGGTGTAATATTGAAGCCCTAAAAAAAAATTGCGCTTCAAAATGGTCTCGAAGTGGCTCGAAAAAGTAAAAATCTCTATTATAAAAACCGTTATGAAACCGCAAAATTTGATTTGATTTCTAATCATAAATATCTTGATAATCAGACAGGCGATCGATCGGCTTGTAAAAGTCATGGGATTCCTGACTGACCTCAAGGTTTATAATTGTGATTGCAGTGATTGCAGAATGAGCTAAATCCAGGATTTTGTTTAGAATATGAGACAAAGATCAGATACCCAAACCCTTTAATGGTTCCACTAGGTCTGTAGCATCCATGTTAAATATACAAAGAAAAATCATACCCTCTCCTCCTTGGTGATCTTGTAGGTCAGGTTCTTGAAGAGGTCCAAGAAATCCAGGTAGTTCCTCGGAGTGAAGAATTTGAAAGGTTTGACATAGAGCCTCTCGGTGGTAGCTGCAGCCGTGGTGTGCACGTAGGCCATGGCCTGGCACAGCGCCTCCACTCCTTGGTCTTGGAAGTGAGAGGGCCAGGGAAGTCGAATACGCTGAGGGAAGGGGGTAGGTAGAGGGTAGAAGGAAGGAGATAAACATGAGTTCTTGTGGTAGGAAAATATTTCTACTCCAGTCAGTCATGGTAAGAACATAATAATAATAATAATAATAGCTCAGATTTATAATACGCCTAATACTTTGTTTCTAGGTACAGCACATATTATTACTCCGGTCATGGGATTCAGGCTTACTCGCAACACAATGTATGCACATTTTCCACTCCCTGGGGGGCATACCAGCCAGTCGCCATTTTACAAGCGCCACTTGCTAATCCAACCACATTAACTTTCGCATCCTACCGGTTACCCATTTAACACCTGGGTGGCAAATGTAGATCAATGTCTTGCCAAAGGACATTAGTGACTTAGTGGGACTTGAACTGTGGACCTTGTGATCCACAGTTCGGTGACATATTTACTCGGCCATGACACCTCTACATGACTCTATTTCAGTAGAAATCTGAACTTTGAGAGCAAGAAAGATGTTAACGCAACTTGACACTATGTAAAAAGATGGGCATTATCACCCTTCTGGGCTTTCGGTAGAGAAATCATCTTTAAATTTGCATACCTAGATAATGGATAGAATGATTGGTTCATTATAAATACAATGAATGTATGCAGTTCATATTCTGGTTTGTTGCGTCTGATCGACCCTGTACAGAGTGCAGTACTTCAAAAGAAAGTTATACATTAATTTCATCAATTTCTAAGAAGGATCTTGTCCTACAAAATTTGTCAATATAACTAAATGAATTTACAATGCGATTTTGACACATGGAATGAAATGGAATGATGCCTTGCCATGACCCAAGCCCTAACCCTGCATATGACAAAATGTTGCCGTAGAAAATATCCACTCATTACGTAAGTGATTAGCTACTTAAAGAGCATAGTAGTGGGCTCTCATAGGAAATTTGACACCATTCTGGTGCTTATCCAATAACAGGTGCTGTCAATCACCAGGACTAGCCTTCACTTATATGACCAACAGGCCTAACATAATGCTCTGCATTTGGAAAAGTCATTATCTTATATTTTTCTCACCCACAGACTCTGTGAGAGACTATAAAGGTGTATTTCTTAACAGGCTCACAGGTTTGCTGAGTGCAAGACTTGTTCACCCATTATTGGAATTTCCACCAAGTCTGGTGTCAGTGAATTACGACCTACGTACTGCACATGGAAACTGACTACCATCTCCCTTTAAAAGAATAATATTTCCTTTCTCATGCTAGCATCGAGTCACAACAGAACAATTAGTTATCATCCTTGGGGGGGGGGGGTGTTTCACAAAGGTCGTAAGTCAAACTTAACTCTAAGTTTGACCTTAAAAATTATGGAGAGCCATTTAGTCTTAAAATAAAATATATTCAATTTTAGACTTTTTATGAATTCCACATCAAGAACATGAAATATCCTTGATAATGGAAAATATGAATGATTTTAATCAACATTTTATGCCTTTTAAAACGGCTTTCCATAATGGTTAAGTCCAACTAAGCGATAAGTTCAACTAAGGATCTTTGCCCCCTGGTCATAACTTTCTTCTGCGTACTAGCAGCCATCGTACCTTATCGGTGTAAGCATCTCTGGTGGGTACCTTCAGCCAGTGCTGTGCTACTCTTGCCAGGCCCTCTTGAGTCCAGGGTAGATAGCTATCAACACAGTGAGTGGTGTTCAGCAGGATTGGGTACCTTCTCAGACGATCAGAAAGACTTCCCAGATTGTGATCTGAACAAAAACAAACATAATAATGATATCACATTTTACCTTTTTTTTTACAACAAAAATGTACATTTGTGATTTCTAAACAAATAGAGTTAATTTATATTTTGGTGTAACTTTTTAAACATTTTACAACAACATTTTTACATGTGTGATTTCTACACAAGGAGAGTTAATTGATATTTTCATTTTCTTTGAAAAAGCATTGGCTAGGAAAAAATCAGATCATCATCTTCAATAAATTTGAGGGAAGAGAGTACCAAGACAAAAAGGATTTGGAAGGAATACAGAAAATGAAATGAGAGAAAGAGAGACAGACGGAGTGAGAGATAAAGAGAGAGGTAAACATGGAGGAACAAAGAGACACAACAAGAACATGCATCTTCAAACAAGAAAGACAGACAGAACAGACGGGCAGGCGGAAAAATATAGAAATATAGAAATATAGATAGACAACAGACATGCAGTACAAACAGACATACAGAATAGAAGAATGACTAGTTGAAATGGAGAAACAGTCAAAACAAGCAAGGAGAACAGACCAGAAGACAGAAAAAAAAGACAATGACCATATAAACTTACTCTGACAATCCATGCAGACCACCACATGAAGATTCTTCATAATGGTCCTCAGGAATCTCTCCTGTGCCATCTCAAGACGTTGGTTCCGCTGTCCTGCTACAACCTTGGCTCCAGTCAACATCTGGGAGGCAAAGGATTCAAGTTCCTCACCAGTAAACAGGTCAGGACACGTGCCTAGAGGGTAATACATGTATATAAGATAAAATATATGAGATGTAAAAGTAATGGTCATGATAATGACAAGGAGGAGCATATGTGATGATGATGATGATGATGAAGTAAAACCTTAGCCCATGTCAACATCTGGGAGGCAAAGGATTCAAGTTCCTCACCAGTAAACAGGTCAGGGCATGTACGTAGAGGGTAATATATAAGATAAAATATATGAGATGTAAAAGTAATGGTTATGATAATGACAAGGGGGAACAGCGTATGATGATGATGATGATGATGAAGGAAAACCTTAGCCCATGTCAACATCTGGGAGGCAAAGGGTTCAAGCTCCTCACCAGTAAACAGGTCAGGACATGTGCCTAGAGGAAAACATATAAAATAAACAAATTGAGGTGTAAGAGTTATGGTAATGATGGTGATGAGGAGGAGCAGTGTGGGTGACGATGATAATGATGATGATGATAATGATGATCATGATGATCATGATGATGGAAAACCTAAGCCGATGTCAACTTCTGGGAGGCCAAAGATTCAAGTTTTTCACCAGTAAACAGGTTGGGACATGCGCCTAGAGAGTAATACAAATTCTTGAATGTAAATACATGAAGAAGATAATGTTCTGCTTTTAAAAAACGGAAATCGCATTGGGACATAATGTCTTTATGTACTGTAAAATTCCTTTTAGAACATATCAATGTGGCTTTATTTAGCTCTGACAATTATAGTACGTGTATTAATTTGCGGAGCACAGTACATTTCAAGGAACAAATCCTACTCCTTATGAAAATATCACTACCTACATACCCCTTATGAAAATATCAGCAAATATCATTACTGTGTTGAGAGTGACATATACTAGTATAACAGAAGGGGCTCAAAGCTTCAAACTTTGCAACTCCAATCAAGTATTCAAACAACTGCACATGCTATGGGTGTCTAGAGTGTCTATAATCATGTAACCCAAACACACCTTCTTGAATGAGACAGCAAACATCCTCCATGGCTTCCGGTCCGATGTCTTCCTTGACCAGCAGCACGGCCGGCCTAGCGATCAGCCCCGCTGTCTTGCTGGCTCGTTTCATCTGGTGCCGGAGCCTTCGTCGATTCTCAGCAGGATCTCTGGTCAGCTGTGGGGTGTAGAGCTTACAGCGGGCCATGTGGGAGGCAAGGTGGGTGAGGGAGGAACGTCCTGTGCCGTTGGTAAGGCCTATCAACAGTGCATTGGCGTTTTCAGATGCCTTGGAGAGACAAATGAATGGACAATAACTTTAACTTAAAGAGACAAATGTACCCATCGACTATAGAATTAATTCCCATAGGCTTAATATAGAAGCATACATGCCAACATTCAAAAATCAGAAATCTGTACAAATTATGCTATTTAAAAAAAAAAAGGAACAATCCTAACTCTCCTATTCAATACTACAGACAAATGTGTACAGGAAGAGGAACACCTGCATTAAAATGATAATTATCTTCTCCCAAAAAGAGGAATGTTCCTCTTTAATCTGAACAGTTGGCATGTATGTAGAAGTCACCCGGTTTCTGTAAGCAAAATATTAAATAAAGTTCGGCTCTAAAAGTACAGTTCTTGCCTTGGAATTACAAATTACAGGCACATGAGACAAATTCCCACATCAAAGTCTCAGTGACAAGTCCATTGTGGAACCAAAGTATCATTGACTAAAAAAGGATCCAGTCAAAAGATCCAGCTATTTTTAATCTTAAGATTCTCAGGAACCCTATCAAAATGTCTCAGTGTTATGGTTAGTCCAGTTGTTTTAAAACCTACACATATCTTTGACCCATACAGGTTCTGTCACAGAGTCGCATAGTCGCTGCCTCTGTTGTTTCGGAACCTAACCATTTTCAATCTATTAAAGGAATATTGTCATACAATCATAGTAGCAAGTGCAGCTGCTCTGGAACCTACACATCAATGTATTTGACCCTTCTGGAAACAGCTGTTTTAAAAGCGAATTAAAAATCTCCTACTGTACCTCTAAAGCGCACAGTTGGAATAGATCAATTTGCAACTTGTTCAAATCAATCGCAAATGTGTAAAAAATGAGGTGTAGATATTTTGGAACACCACTTACAAGTACTCTAGTCAGCCTTGCGATGTGTCTGATGGACTCTGTGAAAAAGACTAGCTCCATCTTCTGTTGGGCGGTCGCATTGTACTGGGCTAGACATATCTCTAGTCCTGCTTGGAGCTTAGATTCAGTGTACTCCACATAGTCTAAACATAGATCAGAAAGAGAATCACGATATTACTTCAGATACAAGAATCAGTTGTTTAGATAATGACAGTATGGGTACATTTTTGCTTTGTAGAAAGCAAGACATCTCCAAGTATTTGTGTAATGTACATGTACATGCAATACGATAATCAATACAGTCAATGATGTACACTATATAAACAATCACATTAGATAACATCTTTCTATCTTTTTTTATTTATTTTTTATTTTTTAATTTGACATAGCATTTGATTCTTTTTTAACATATTAAAGCAATCTACTTATATTGGTAGATTTGGAATAGATAGATTTGACAAATCAAACAGAAATTTACAAAATAAGAAAATGAACACTTACTTCCTTCTTTCCCGATTCCAGGCACAAATTTGGCGAAGGTTATTGCACATAAATCTTCATCTGGTTCTTTCAGCTGAGGAGAGAGCAATAGTAATCAAATGAGTTACAGTTTTCCAGAAGTTGACATTGTTTTGGCATAAACTTGTTGACAAAAATGATAATTATTATTTAATTTTGGGTCATTATGTGCTTTTATTTATGATATGTTACCAGTAAATGTTTCTAAAGAAGATATGATTAAGGTTAAATAGTGAATTTACAAGGGACAAAAATAGAACATCAGATATTTAACTTTTTCCAACAATCTAGATTGTATGAGCTTACCAAACAAAACAAAACAAAATTTAACACATACATGTAAATCACCTGTAATATAGCGTTCCAATATTTCCTTATGTGACAAAAAATGTTGACAAAAAGCCTGTTGATGATAAATCATTTTTTTGTAATGCTTCATAATATTTAAATTGTGTCCCTTAAAGACATCTAGATCCTCAATCGCACCCAGAACGGATCAATCATGGTTTGAATCCAACTCCTAGACTACTACTAGATCACCTGATTGCTAAAAAACCACCTGACTTTTCACATCACCATATAATCAATCACCTGACTTATCTCAATTAATACTCCCTTAAAGACATCCAGATCCTCCTCCTTTGTATCAGAACAGATCAATCCTGGTTCGAATCTAACTCCTAGACTAATATAGATCACCTGATTGCTAAAAGATCACCTGACTTTTCACATCACCACTTGATCACTCACCTGACTCATCTCAATCAATGGTCCCTTAAAGATATCCAGATCCTCCTCCTTTGCATCGGTAAGAATCAATCCTGGTTTGAACGTCACCCCTCTCTTGAGCCCCAACTTTGTCTTACTATCATCCCCTTCCTTCTTGATGGCAGGGTGTACCATGGGCTGGGAGGGGGGCGTCGGCTGCAGGGCCTTGCTTCTCGGAGGAGGGGGGCAAGGCTGGAACATCCTCGGGGACTGGGAGCTTTCTGTATCTGGGGCTAGGTCTAGATTGAAGCAAGAGATTAATCTTGAAATTTGCCACATACATGTAGGATACATTTGTCACATGGTTTGAAACAATACAGTACCTCGCCTGCGTTTGGTTGAAGACTACATTCACATTTAACATGTAGGTACATTTCCTACTTCAAATTATTTAAAGGGAAATCAAAAGTGAAAATATTCAGTCATTTAAATCTATAACAAATGTAAACAAATGCTGGTACCATGGTATGCCTTATTTAAAAAAAAATAACTCCATAAACCACTAATCACACCAAAAAATGACTAAAAAATGAAAGCAACCTTTCATTCATTCATTTGGGAATGCAATTTTTGCCTGTCACACTTTTGATTTCAAGCTATTTTTAAATGTTTCCATCATTGTTGTTTCTCTTTATCAGAAATGAAAGCCTAGATGCAGCAGTGTCTTTTATTGAAATGTAAAACTTGCTTTTGTTTTGTATATGGATTCTCTTTTTTTATTCACTTACGTATAAAAGTGAGATTTCATAGCAGCAATTTTTAAGGTTTCTTTGGATATTGGTAAGGCATTAATCTACATTTGCCACTACATACCCACAAGGAAAATGAAGACCTGGTAGGATGGCAGAAGCATTTTTGTTAGTAATTCGTTTTTAATACGGACTATATAAATCCAGATTATCATTATTATTATCCCTTTATAAGTTTTACCAAAGTACTTTTAGAGCATTCCAGACACGATATTATTAATTTATCTAAACAAGCCATTTGTGTAATGTAACCAAATTCAAATGCATGTCTTTGTAAATTAAGTGCCTCAGTACAAATTATTTCATTCACCTGTTATTTCAATAGTCAGAATGCAAAGTACATATTTATTAGGTTTTGTTAGGTAGGGCAAGGCATTATAATGTTTGTCCTCACTAGTAACAACTAATATATGCAATTTGCATTCTGACTGTTGAGGTACAATTATTTGTAACAGGTGAATAAAATACAATAGGGGCATTCACACCTACAGAAAAAGTCAGATTTAAAAATTGATTTTTGCATCACGATCCACTTTTTTTTTTTGTGCATGTGTGGACAGAATAATGTAATTAATCTTGCGATTCACATTTCATTAAGTCTTGTGATTTTTAATAATAATCGTGATAGTTTGCCGAGCGGTGTGTATGTAAATGGTAATGAGAATCAAAAATCTATTTATTTAATCTCAGGACTCCCAGCACGCATGCATCGTCAAGGTTTACACCTGTGTGTGAATGGTCACCCCCCAAAATCAATCTTTGCATCGCAATCCAGATCGCACTAATTGTTATGTGTGAACAGGCCTATATTGTGTCAACTTTACAAAGATGTATGCATTAAAATTTGTTTACATTATAAAAAATGAACCATCACACTAGCACAACACCTGATAAAACTTTACCACACTGTAGCAGCTGGTGATAATTGCAATGGTGGCATATAATTTAAATGCATTTATGTAACAATGGAGTGGCAATGGATCGATGATGCACAAAAAGGCATGCAAATTCATGAAGATATATTTGTGGGGGGGGGGGGGTGAATTATGAATTATGTACATGCATGAAAAAATGGAACGGTCAGGAGGATTCAGATTTCAAATTAAAACATATCATTTTGCTAATGATGCTATTTATGTATGGACTTATAAACTGGTGTTGAAAAGACTCTGTATGAAATTTCAATACAAATGATGATTTTTAATGCATGCATATAAGTTCCACATTTCAAAGTACATAGAAATGAATACTACATGTATGATATTAAAGAATGAACCCTAACTGAATCGGCATCTCACTTGACCTAACCTTTTCAGAAATCAAGTGCAACCGGGTGCTTGAAGTTTCTCATCATATATTGCCATATTATCAATGTGCACGACATCCTGCCCGGCAACTTTTACATTTTCTTTTTTCCTATATTCATCAACTAGTATATCTCTCCCTAACCTTTTTGCCCTGTATGATTAAATATCTATCCCTATTCCTCCATTTTATCTCTAGACTACATACAAGTATATGCTCCTAAAGAGAATAATTTTCTTTTAGTATGAAAAGTGTATTTTTTAAATAACTTTATTCATTTATATATATCTCTCCCTAACCTTTTTGCCCTGTATAATTAAAAAATCTTTATAAAATTTTATTCCTCGACCACATACAAGTGTACATGTTTGTCCCTAAAGAGTATGAATTTCTTGTAGTACGAAAAGGCTATAGGTCAAGACGAGGTATTATTAACAAACGAGGAGGACACGGGGGTAATGGATAGCTCACCCATGACTATCGCTGGTACTGGGGCAGGGGTACTGGTAGGATCTGGTTTCAGCTCTAGAGGCACATCCAATGAACTCACTGCTAAGCAGATGCGTGAAGGAGGCATATAATGATGAAGAGCATGAGAGTGTATAACGAAGCAGAGACAATTTTAAAGAGAAGGTCGAGTTCTGGAGAAGGTGAAAATAATTTCTGAGCTCTTCCATTCTTTTCCATTTAGGAATAGAAGAATGGGAAAGTAAAAATATGACAAGAAATAGCTGACATGTTTGGACCGAACTTTAAAGTCACATGTGTGTGTGTAGTCCCATGCACACATTTATGTATCCATGACTTTAAGCAAGATTGAGTCTATTTCCTATAGTTTTGATGATTTGAAAACTTCAGAGGATGTATACATTATATCTCATGTGGGCCTATCATAATCAATGTTTTCCATTATTTTAGACAGTTTCTTTCACAATGCAATCGCATGACCAGAACTCAACATTTCTTTAAAAAGCATAGAAGCATGGATGATGATGATGATAATGATGAATTTAAAACACTTGCTTGTATTACCTGAAGCCTAAATCAATTCTCCATACTCATGCAGTCCTATCACTAATCAATCTTTTCCCCTATATTTATATTTCAATTTTTCAGTCCATTCGCCCCATTGATCCACAAGTTTCATCAAATACTGATAAATTCATGGATAGGAGATGTTTGTTTGCTTTTTTTCTTTTCTTGTGCAATGTCATAACTAAAAACATATTTTAAATAAAACAAAGAAATATAGCACAAACGTGAATTTAACCTTCTGTTTTTCTATTTCAAAGAGATTCAGAGTAGGAGCAATGATTCAGTTACAGGCAATATGACAGTGGCTACATGCAATTTAATTATGTGATAGCTTCAAAAGACAAAATGGGCTAAACAATTCAAGCAATATATATTCATGTGGTTAATGCCAAAGCAGTGGAAATATGGCAGTTTCAAAGGGAAAATTGTAAAGTATGACTACTTCCAAACCCTAAATTATCAGAATTTCATGACAATGGGTAGAAGAAATAACTGTTCATGTTTGATTCAGGTATCTTTAAATTTGATCAAAACTATTTTTTTTTTTATATTGATACAATTGTTTCACAATGATTTGTTTACAACTTAATGAGCCATGACCTTTACCATATCATTAGCACACTTTAAGTATTATGAGCAAATACAAGAAAATGATAAAAGGATTGAATAATGATGAGAATAGAAAGAATCCTAAAGATACCCATGCAAAGTGAATATCACTGAAAAGAATAAAAAGTGGAACAGACCTGATGCTATGCTGATTTCTGATTCGGCATCGAATCCACCCGGGCCTTCACCATTCACATCAATAGGGATGTCAGTGTGAGGAAATGAGAGGGGTGGGGTGCTGGTTTCAAACACTATACAGAGATTACATTGACATCCAGACAGTATATGTACGCATGATAGAATATGAAACGAAAAAAGAGGAGAGTGAGAGGATAAGAGAGAATGTAAGAACAGATGAGGATCAAGAAAGAAGAGAAGGAGAGGTGAGGAGAGATGAATAAAAAGAAGAAGTAAGAAGCGAAGAGAAGCAAGGTGAAGATTGAGGAAAGAGATAAGAAGGGAAAAGAGAAAGTAATAAGAGGAGGAAGAACAGGTACAGGAGAAATAAACATTGAAATTACAAAGATACAAAGACAGAAAAGAAAGCAAAAACATGAGACAAAGGGACAGAAAGAGTAACATACAAATATGATTATGAAATATAGGTTATATTTTATGCAGTAAAGTAAATACATTTTTCACTTGTAATTTTCATGCAAGAGTTGGATGTATTATTGATATATAAAGGGTTGCAGATATATGCATGCAATTACACATTGTACATACAGTGTACATTCAAAATATTCAATGGCATGCAATTAAACAATAAATGTGTATACTAGCTGTTTCTTACCAACATTTTTGATTGATATGGTAATGAATAAATAATGACTATAAATGGCAAATGAAAATGATCCTCTACTTTTCAGCAACAAAGAAGAAATAATAGGTGATGATGAAAATATCTTTGCTAAACACACACATAAAAGATTTTGCAATATCAGATATATAGCAATGACCTTGAACAAGACAAATTAAGGCACATGTACATGTACATGTACACTTTACATAAGACTGGAACAATCTTTTTCAAGTCCTAATCTTACACCCCCCCCCTTTTTTTTTTACCTTTTTTTTTCTTCAAACTGTTAAAAGCCTTCATTATAAAAACTTATAATGTAAAGAGTCTTTTGAGCACACTGGATACAAAACAGTTGGCCTACTACCCCTTGAAGAATGAAAGTGATCAGAAATAAGACATGAAACCATCACCAATTAAGTGGGGTTTTTTGTGGATAGATGGAGTGTACTGGATGAAAAAGACAAATAAAAAGAGTGCTATCGAAAGAAATGTGAAAAAAGTCATTTAGGATATGAAATCTGAAATATAATACTGTTTCAGTGCTGTAAATGAATGATCAATTTTTGTAATGAAGTAGTGTAAATTTCAGAGAGTCTCTCGTAAAAACTTGAAAATATCATTCCTCCCTTAGTACAACAAATGGATGAAAAATTTCACAAATGTTCAACTGGATGTAATGATAACATTCAGACAAAGAATAATTTGAAAGTGAGAGATGTGTTTAAATGAAAATACCTTCTTGGTCCCCATCGTTGGTCCCTGTAGCGCCCTCTGTAGGGGGTTCAGCTTCATCTGTTGCTGTATTCATCGTGGGTGTAGGGGAGACCGGCAAGGGAGGGGTAGATGGTTGGGCGGAGTCATCCTGTTCCTCGATTATCTCAGTCTCCTGGTCATAAACAAAAAATGCATGATTTGAATGTACTTTTTCGCTGACCATACTAGTGTAGCATACCACATGGAGTTTTTTTTTTCATATTCTAGCGGAGGTATTCTGATAACTATTTTATCTTGGATTTAATAGTGAAAAGTGGAGAGTAACCTTTGCCCATTTAGAACCCACTGCACCAGGGAGAAACCCTGGTGTAGTGGTCCACCTGCAAACCCAAATCAGTTATATCCAGAGAAGTGACCCAAAGGTTTATACACTGGTTAAAGTTTGCCAAATAATGATTAATTTAATAATAATAATAATAAAAAAAAAATAATAATAATAATAATAATAAAATAATAATAATAATTATAACAATAATGCAATAATGATGATGATAATGATGATGACGATGAAGACAAAAATATCTCAGTGAAAGTAAACATCTATCATTACATGAACATATATATGAAAAAGTAACTTTCTTCTATTTCAGTTGTGTATTTCCACCCCATTGTGTGTTGCCGTTTAAATAATTTCATACTTACAAATTTTCATCATGCTGTATCTCTTATATCATTTCTTTTACTCAAATATACATGTATTATCTATATTAAAAAATAGATTTCTACTTTGGGACACATACCTCCCCTTTCTCTGGATCTGGAACAGGATCTGGAACAGGATCTGGAACTGGGATGGGAGGTGGGCTAGGTCTATATCTCTTTGGGGGACCACCACAGAAATGAGTCTGAATGACCTCTTCCAGGGTATTCCGAAACCAGGATTGGTCTGCAGAGTAAATATGAATAGAAATACATGTAACAATAAGGATAGACTGACAATACATTCTTGCCCATAAAGTTGGATATTTTTTTCTTCAGAATCTTATTGATCAATCTTTATGACTCTTTAGATCAATCAATCCAGTTCTAATTAGAAGATATAAACTCTATTTATGAAAAATAAACTATGTTGTCACAAACTTTTCATTAAAAGAGGTAAGGCTAATTTATTCCAACTTTATAGGCAACAGCCCAAGTATTTCCACAAAGACAAAATGGTCACTGGTCACTGGGAATCCCATTACACTGAACTAAAAATTTCTATTTTACTAGCATGGTATAAAAACAGATTGCCATCAAATTATTTGACATAAAAATATATGAATTTGATTTAATTCACACATTCTTTTGAAACACAATCATTGTCTTTCATACACAGATAAACAACAAACAATACTGTGTCAACTATTAACACATTGCAACTACAAAACTATATATCATATGAAATAATACACAGCTGCATGGACTATTATAAACCCATTCCAAAAAAAAAGTAGACTTTCCAAAAAAGTCTAAAAAAATGGACCGTTTCATGCAATTTCAGATGGTCTAAAATAATACTTTTTCACTCAAATAGAACCAAATTTCTTGGGTTACAGAAAATAATGGTCCTTACCTTTGTCGTTATAGAATATTGTTCTTGCAAGTATCCATCAAAGGTTCGTCGATTGCCACACTTTGATCTGTACAAGGTTTGTCGATTGCCACACTTTATTCTTACCAACGTTCGTCGATCGCCGCACTTTACTTTGACCAAGGTTCGTCGATTGCCACACCTTGATCTGTCCAAGGTTTGTCGATCGCCACACTTTACTTTGACCAAGGTTCGTCGATTGCCACACTTTGATCTGTACAAGGTTCGTCGATTGCCACACTTTATTCTTACCAACGTTCGTCGATCGCCGCACTTTACTTTGACCAAGGTTCGTCGATTGCCACACCTTGATCTGTCCAAGGTTTGTCGATCGCCACACTTTACTTTGACCAAGGTTCGTCGATTGCCACACTTTGATCTGTACAAGGTTCGTCGATTGCCACACTTTATTCTTACCAACGTTCGTCGATCGCCGCACTTTACTTTGACCAAGGTTTGTCGATTGCCACACTTTAATCTGTACAAGGTTCGTCGATTGCCACACTTTATTCTTACCAACGTTCGTGGATCGCTGCACTTTACTTTGACCAAGGTTCGTCGATTGCCACACCTTGATCTGTCCAAGGTTTGTCGATCGCCACACTTTACTTTGACCAAGGTTCGTCGATTGCCACACTTTGATCTGTACAAGGTTTGTCGATTGCCACACTTTATTCTTACCAACGTTCGTCGATCGCCGCACTTTACTTTGACCAAGGTTCGTCGATTGCCACACTTAATTCTTTCCAAGGTTTGTCGATCGCCGCACTATACTTTGACCAAGGTTCGTCAATTGCCACACCTTGATCTGTCCAAGGTTTGTCGATCGCCACACTTTATTCCGACCAAGGTTCGTCGATAGCCACACTCTACTCTTACCAAGTTTCGTCGATTGCCACACCTTGAACTGTCCAAGGTTTGTCGATCGCCACACTTTATTATTACCAAGATTCGTCGATCGCCACCCTTTACTCTGTCCAAGGTTCGTCGATTGCCACACCTTGATCTTTCCAAGGTTTGTCGATCGCCTCACTTGACTATTACTAAGGTTCGTCGATCGCCACACTCTACTCTGACCAAGGTTTGTCGGTCGCCGCACTCTACTTTGACCAAGGTTTGTCGATCGCCACACTTGACTATAACTAAGGTTCGTCGATTGCCACACTTCACTCTTAACAAGGTTCCTCATTCACCATACTTGACTCTTCCCAAGACGAAAATCCAATTGAAACCAATTGAACACCAATTGAAATTTCAATTGGTTTCAATTGGTTTCAATTGGTCTCAATAGGTCTCAATAGGTTTTAACAGGTTTCAATGGGACCTCAGATGTTTTCAATTGGTCCAGATTGGCCCCATTGGACAAATTGGCCCCATTGGCCCCATTGGCCTAGGCCCCATTAGACTTTAATGGGTCCCCAATTGGTTTCAATTGGTCCGGATTGGCCCCATTGGACAAATTGGCCCCATTGGCCCCATTGGCCTATGCCCCATTAGACTTTAATGGGTCCCCAATTGGTTTCAATTGGACCAATTGGCCTTAATTTGGACTTCAATTGGTCCCATTGAAACCAATTGGCCAATTGAAACCAACAAATCTAGGCATCTCATGAATATTCATTATCACTTTACACGTGTCACAGAAAAAATAATTTATCATGATTTGTTAAGCAAATTATGACAATGCACATCAATTTTGTGATTTCTTTATTCCTTCAGCAATTATTAACCAATAGATTATTTTGTCTGATCATGTTACAATTACATTCACGTTTTAGCAATAGATATATTGATTTATATATTGATTATATGATTACTAACCAAAAAACAATATACATATTTAGTATATATATTTGTACGAGCCATTGGCACTGTAAATGAAACTCTTGAATTCACTTCAAATGATCTTTGTGATGAAGTTAATGCAAACGAGATTGGAATATACCTAATTGGTGGACAGTTGCCAATATCGATTATGAAGTATCAATAATTTATCACTGGTTCTTCTAACTGGATCGAGTTACCAATTGAATCCCCATTGAATGCCCCCATTGAATCCCAATTCAATACCAATTGGCAATTTGGAGTAAATGGAAAGTGAAACAATGGGTACCCATTGAAACCAATTGGCGATTGGTCCCCATTGGAACCAATTGGCAATTGGTCCCCAATTTGGAGTAAATGGAAAGTGAAACAATGGGTACCCATTGAAACCAATTGGCAATTGGTCCCCATTGGAACCAATGGCAATGGGTCCCCATTGGTTTCAATGGGTACCCATTGTTTCACTTTCCATTTACTCCAAATTGGATTCAATGGGGACATTCAATGGGGATTCAATTGGATTTTCGTCTTGGGTTACGAGGGTTTGTCAAGAAAAAAAGTGTCCCCCCCCCCCCCAATAATATTAAAACATGTCTTAATTTGATACCAGTGTTTGAAAAAAAGGAGTATTTTTTTTAGACTCTATAACTCAGATTCTACTTCATTTCAAGCCAAATTTCCTTCCCAAGTGTGCAACAGAATTGCAAAAGCTCATTTACTGTGCAGGGGCAGACACTCTTTCCCCTCCCCTCCAAACACACCTCCTGTCACTTGGTCTCTATGCTCCCTCGGGAATCGGTCTTGTCTGCATCTGGTATATCTTGTTCATGTTGTTGTATCATAAGTATATGTGGTGTTATGCTTTAAATGGGCATGAACATTAATTCTTGGCGTGCATATTTTGGTATAATTATGTTTTCTTCATGACAAAAGTTTAACTTGATCACAATCGGTAAAATCATTATGCACTTAACCACATATAACTGAATTGTAGGACCGGTATGGACCAGATTGCACATTATTAAGAAGAAAATGCAAAATCTCCCTATCGTGGGAGAGGGAGACACCGCTCAAACATCCTCGGACCCTGCCCTCACCCACCCCCCCCCCCCCCCAACCCCCAACCCCCAGCTCAGTTGCTTCACTCCCTCACAAAGTCTCAAGCTCTAAGTTTGCAACCCTGCCAATCTTGCCATTATGCTATACCTGGTGATGAATGGATGAAGACTTTCTTCTGACCCCCAAAATTGTTTGCTCATTACAGCACTGTCAATGGCTATTAAGAATCATTGTAAATATGTATAAATAATACGTGAACAGAAATACTGTATGTATTCAAAGTCAATACAATTGACATATTATAAATATTGAAGATGCTTTAATTCAAGATCAATGAAGGCTACGTACTGGTTATAACTTCCAGCCCATTTTTAACATATCATGGGTATGACAAATTGCAAAATATTTGTCGTGTGGAAATGTAATTTGTGAATTACATGAAAGAATCATTATTTAGGTACAAAACAATTGCATACAATTCATCGCGTGTGGAATAACAGACTATAACAAACTACAACCACTTTGTTTTATACATTTACCTACATGCACAATAATGCCTATAATTAGAATTACCCAAACCTATAGGAATTATGCTGTGCAGTATATTTCATTCAGACAATTTATGACTATTCAATGCATATCGACACTGTGAACTTATTAAATATCATAAACGAACACATGCATTATATGCCGATAGGCCAAGTTTTGGAAACCATTCCCATCAAGACTCTGAAATCTCAATAAAATTGGTACAGCTTTTTGCATGGTATGTCTATAAACAATCACAATATTGAGAGCTTTTGAGATCAATGTTCAAGGTTGTCTTTGAACATCTTTGTCACTAATATACAAGAGGCACGAATGCCAAGTGAGTGGCTGCACAAGATTATAATGTATATTTTAGTTTAGAAACTACATGTATTCTCTTCAAGGCATAGTTCAGTTTTGGTATAGAGGGCTCTACACAAAACCAGCCGCCATTTTCTTTTTTAATGCTTCCTCTTTTAAAAAGAGGTTTTTGTGAGATATTAACACTGATAACACTATCACTGCCTGAAATACAAGACTATCACTATCAGGCATTGACCCCATTACCTCCCCCCTAAAAAGATACTCTCCTTGTGTATATGCATGGTACTGTTTTTTTTTTAAAACTATGACAAAATAGCTAAATGGCCCTTTGAGAGCCTGAAACTTTTCAAAGATAAAGAATTAGACATCAGTTACAACTTTTTCTTGTAGCATGGACCTAGATTGACCTCCCATAGGCCATAGCTTAATAAAAAAATGTTGCTTTATATGCATGAGGTATCCCTGAGCAGCAAATTGTTTACAGAATTTTGTAACAAAATTGACATACCATTTTGGTTTGAGCTGAAAAAAATATATAGCAACAAACAATTTGTTTTCTTCTTTCTATTGATGAATAA